CTGTCGCAGTCGCTGTCGCAGCTGGCTTCTCTGCCACTGCCACTGCCACTGGCTCTGCCTCTGCCAGCAGCAGTCGTGGCCCCGCTCGAGTTCAATGCACTTGATTTGGCATACATTTGGCATTCGGCTTGTTATCAGACGCAACTGATGGCAGCAGGCAGCAGGCAGCGGTGGCAGCAACGGTGGCTGTGGCTGTGGCTGGCTGCAGTGTGGCCGATCTGTTGCCGATCTGCTACCGATGTTGCAGCTGAAGTTTGTCGAACCAGCAGGCAGCAGGCAGCAGCCCGCTCGCTCGCTCTCGCATTGTCTTATCAACTGAAAGGCCACTCGTAGATGATAAAGCTGATATTTTATTTCCCTTTTTAATACGGACTCTCCTTAATGCAGATATAAAATTCAATAATATTTTTTGTCTGTGGTCCACAGCAAAAGTTTCCACATTTCCACGGTACAATTTTTCCCATACAGCCCACAGCCGCCCCAAGCCCCAAGCCCCAAGCCCCAAGTCAGGCCAGGCCGTTCAAGTCGTCGCGTTTGAGTGTGATTGCTGTTTTTTGAGTGCGATTGTTATCATTGCTTCGGCTCGGCTGGGCTGGGCTGGGCTGGGCTTCGGGTTTGATGTGCTTCGTGTTTGATGTTGGACTCGGTCGCTCTCTTAGCTCTGTGCTCTCAAGAGAGCGTCCAACCAGCTAAGAGCGGCGACGAGACAGACGAGCGACTGCCCAGAGAGCAAGAGCGCAAACGGAGTTGTAGGCGCATCAGCTGTTGGGCGGAGTACGCGGCGTATGCGCAATGCAGCTGCCGAAAATTCACAAAAAGTAGCCAGACGCGCGCGGCAGTGTCAGTGGCAGGGGCAGACGCTGGCTCAGGCTCGGGCTTGGGCTCAGGCTCGGGCTTAAACAATGGCCATAGGCCAAACGCTGGTTAGGTAAGGTGCAGCAGCAGCAGCAGCAGCCACGCCGTTTCAATGCCAATCGCCCAGAGGAGCGACTGAGCAGAGACGTGTGCCACATTTTGGGATTTGGCACAGCAGCAACAGCAAAGAAATGAGAAAATGAAGAAGAAAGAAAGAAATGATTGCAGTATGCAAAAAATAAAGATAAAAATAAAAAGCGAAATATAGGCAAGCCGACTTGAATGGCTTGAATGGGGAGAGTCGCTGCAAGGCGGATGTGGTTGCAGTGCCAGTGGCAGTGCCAGTTGCTCCTGTAATTCATGCACGCTAAGTTCATTAACATTTTGTGGCTGTGCCACTGCCACAGCCACTGTCGCTGCTGGCCAGCGAAAACTTCTCTGCACCGGCTGGCTCTGTCTATGTCTATGGCTATGGCTCTGTCGCTTACTGTGGCTGCCACAGCAAAATTCAAGTGAAATGTTCTGCTTTCGCTCTGCGGCAGCCTCCAAGCAGCACAGCGCTGCCCCCCCCCCCTGCTTCTGCTTCTGCTTCAGAATTATTTCAAATTGCAGATATTATAATCGCTGTGAGTGTAGAAAGTTGGTAATCAATCAATGGCGGGGATAACTTTCGCTCTGCTTGCAAATTGTTGCAGCCTTTCTAGCAAGTTCGTTGCCTAAGTCTTTCGTTTCGCTGCCGCCTGCGGCTCTGTATATGTGTGTGTGTGTGTGTGTGTGTGTGGGGCAAAAACTAGAAAACCAGAACCCAGCAGACAGCAGCCAGCAGGCAGCTAACTGAAAGGATGCCATTCGGAAGGACTGCGTCAGCTAGCATTGGAAGCCATGTGCAAGATGAGCAGCAAATATCAGCCTTAACCCATGTGGCAGTTTGCCTCTCTTGGGCGGGGGAGTGGGGCACGGGGCACGCCTAATTAATCAGGCTCCGCGGTCGGAGGAGCCCACATATGGGCAAACATATACTTTCGCCGAATGCGTTGAGACCAAAACAGCAGCAGCAGCAGCAGCAGCAGCAGCAGAAACAAAAACCAAATCCGAATCCGAATCCGAATCCGTGGCAAACACAGAAACCAAAACCAATTTCACCAATTAAACTAATGTTAAATTGACGGTAGAAATTTCTTGGAAAAAGTCTATCAGTCCATCCAGTCTACCGGTCTGTCCGCCGCATAGTCCGTTCGTCTGCCACTCGACCAAAGTGTCGCCAAAGCCAAGCGGCAAGCGGCTAAAGGGGAAGCAGCGAGCGAACAGTGGCAAGCGGCTGCACTGCGATATCGGAAAAGCACTTGAAAAACAAGGCAACAGCAGCAGCAACAGCAGCAACAACAGCTCAGTGCATCGATACAACAAAAAATATGTGTAAAATTGCAGCGTGCCAGCAAACCAGCAGCATAAATCGCCAAAGCCATAGCCAAAACCCAAAACCCAAGCCCCAAACACAAACAGAAAACAAACACAAAACAAGGCACTCAGTCGTGACGGCGCTGTTGCCGTTGTTGTTGCTGTTGTTGTTGCTGCCACTGCCACTAATGCCACTACTGACACACTGACAACAACGGCCACTGTTGCATTTTGTTGCTGCTGTTGCTGTTGCTGCTGCTGTTGCTGTTGCTGTTGCTGCTGCAAATTTGTGACCATGAACGTGAAAAATCAGCAAAGTGAAAAATAATTGATTCCGGAAGGAAACTGCCGCAACTGGTTTGGGTTTCAGTTTGGATTTGGATTTGGGTTTGCTTTTGGCTTGTTGCTGCTGTTGCTGTTGCTGCTGCTGCTGCTTGTTGCTTGCTGCTTGCTGCTGCCGCTGCTGCTGCTGCTGCAACAGCAACTGTTGCTCGTGTGGCTCGTGTGTTGCGGCGCTTGGTGTTGATGTTGATTTCATTTTTCTCTGTGCCTTTGGGAGCGGCCACTGGGGCACTTTGCATTTTGGTGCCGTAACAGTGGAAAGCAGAGCAGCTTTCCTGTTGGGTGAAATCCACACACACAGTCCACCCGTCCACCCGACCACACGTTGGCCTGTCGCACATTTCTGGTCTATTAGGCAGCCATCCCATCCAGTGTCATCCCTTTCTGTCCCTCTGCTGTTTGCATCTCGATTCTGCACTGCGGAATCGATGGGATTGGATTGGATTGGATTGCACTTGGCATTGTTGGCATTCGATTCGCCGCAGCCCGAGCCGATGCTGATGGCTGATGGCTGATGGCTGATATGCTGATGACAGTTGATGTGTCGGCCCAAAAGGAAGTGGAGAAATCGCCAGGCAACTCTTGAATGATTTTTAGAGAGAGAATTTCCCCTACCTCGTATCTGCAGGCTGCCTTCTCCTGCTCCTACTCAATGGCTGTGCAAACAGACTCTTTTTCTGGGTCATTGGCGCAGAAAGTGAGCAAAAAGTGAAAAACAAATAAAGCAAGAACCCACAGCACACAGCCCACAGCTCGCAGCTCACAGCTCACAGCTCATGTTCCTGTCCATGTCCATGCCCGTGCCGTGCCTAGCATCACGATTTTTGGGGGCACAGCACACCAAGACCAAGACCAAGAGCAAGAGCAGCCTCTGCCTCTGCCTCTGCCTGCCCCTTCCAGCGATAATGACTGCCAACGTTCTCAGCGCCTTGCAGGAAGTCAATTACCGCCTCGAGGAAGAGAGACCGAGCCGCGACTCGGCTCTGTCTCGCTCCGCGGATGCATCTAACTATGCATCTAACTTTTGTATCTTCTGTATGTACGTGGATGCCCCAGCCCGGCCCGGCCCCGCTTGAGCGCTTGTCTCAAATTTGCAATCTCTGCCGCTTAACTTTCTCAATTGAAAATTGCATTTGAACGGTGCTGATGATGACGCGACTGCGTCAGCGATTTCCCTCGAATTTTCCGCCGCTGATGCTGCGTGGAGCTGTGGAGCTGTGCTGTGGGCTGGCTGGGGGAAGTCGTTGCCTCAGCCGTTGACCGAAAAAAGTGTGTCAAGTTTTCGACAAAGATCAAGTACATCTCAGATAGTACGTGCAACGTGTGTTGTTGCTGTCGTTGCCCCCGTTGTCGTTGTCGTTGCTGCTGCTGCATCCGCCGCTGGCCCGGGGCATTTCCATTTCCAGTTGCCATGACCAAAATGTTCTCAAAATCATTGCAGTGTGTCTTAGATTTTTGGTGCAATTTCATAGTGAAAGTGCAGCAGGCAGGCAGCCTGCCTGTTGCCTGCCTGCCTGATGCCTGCAACTAGTTGCAACTGGCAAGAAATATGTGTGGCACTCAGTCGCTCAGTCGGTAATTGGAGAGCCGTGCCCCAGGTCTTTTTTGGGGGCAGATTGCCGTAGTTGTAGGCTGCCGAATATCAAATTAAGTGAAACGAAAAGAAGACAAGACAGAATTTCATTTGCGAAAAGTGGGCCTCCCCCTCCTTCGCTCCTTCCCACCTCCATCCTTAGTGGCCTAGCGGAATCGTGTTCTTGTGGGTGCTGCTTGATGCGGCGACCCACTTTTGGCCCACTGCTCAAACTGAGTCTTAGTCTGAGTCCGGGTCTGGGTCAGAGAAAGGGAGAAGCCATCCATCCATCCATCTCGTTTGCGGTTAGCGTTCACTTTTGCCACTGCCACTGTCACTGTCAATCTCCCATCTCACCCATCGATCGGTTCAAAGAACTCTCCTTACACTGCAGCAACCAGCAGCAGCAGCAGCAGCAGTAGGAGCAACAGCAGCACCTGCTGCAGGCAGACGCAGCTCTACTCCCTCTTGAGCGACGAGGGCAATGGGCAATGGACTGGTGACTGGTTACTGGTGACTGGTTACTGGTGACTGGTGACTGTGCTATTTTCATATGCGCACACCGTTGCCACTGATAACCCAATATCCCAGTTAAATTTAAAATCCAAAGCCGTAAATGCGGCCAATTTGAATACGCGCCGCCGAAAGAGAGAGCACAAAAAAAGCCACTGACAATAAATCCGTTATGCATAAATCCAAGCAGCGGCTTGGGGCTTGGGGCTTGGGCTTTGGGCATGGGGCTTGGGCCCACGCTCACGCTCACGCCCAAGCCCAAGCCCGAAGCCCCAAAAGAGTAAGTACTCGTACTTTCAATTGAAATTTCTGTGCCCAGGCGTCGTCGCTGCCCAAAAATACATATAAAAGCGGCAGTGCGGCCTAGCCGGCGTTTCTTTTGGCCAGACAATGCCGAGAAGTTCGCTTATCACTCAACGCTGGCTGACACTCACCACACTGACCCTGGGCATGGTCGCCAGTGGTCTGCCCTCTTCCAAGCCAGACGCAGCCGCCGCAGCCGCCGCAGCCGCAGCAGCCTTGGCTCGCCTCAATCCTGCAGTGCCACCCGCGCCACGCTGGGGCGCCAACATGCAAATGCTGCGCAGGCACAACAGTAGGTATCCCGGGGGTCGGTGTGTCCGTGCACCAGTTGAACAGCCGCTAATCGGTTGCTTGCAGGTGCGGCCTTCAACTTCTGGACGGAGGAGAGCGACACGAACATCTGGGAGCACTGCGGCCTCTTCGAGGGCGACATAATGCTGCATCGCGAGCTGCTGCGCAATGGGCTGCTGAACGAACGCAGCACCTGGCCGGAGGCGGCCATACCCTTCTACATTGATCCGCAGGACTTCAGTGAGTGCTTCGAGCAGTGTGGAATATACTCATTTATTGATTCATTTAATTCGAACAGCTGCCAACGAGACGATGGTCATACTGAGGGGCTTTAAGGAGTACCACGAGCGCACCTGCATCCGCTTCCGGCCGTACGAGCAGGGCGACAAGCACTGGCTGATGATCAAGGGCAACTACTCGGGCTGCTGGTCGAGCGTGGGCCGGCGGCAGGGCGGTCAGGTGCTCAACCTGAACACGCCCAAGTGTGTGACGCATGGCGTGGTGGTGCACGAGCTGCTGCATGCGCTGGGCTTCTATCACCAGCAGAGCGCCACGGAGCGGGACGAGTACGTGAAGATCAACTGGGAGAACATACTCGATGGGCATGCGCACAACTTCAACAAGTACGCCCGCACGCATATCACCAACTTTGGCGTGGAGTACGACTACCAGAGCGTCATGCACTACAGCTCGCGGGCATTCAGCAAGAATGGCAAGGCCACCATCGAGCCACTGGTGAGTTCCGCTCCAAGACAGAGAGAGACAGGCAACAGGCAACAGGCAAGCAGGAGATGTAGGCGGAGCTTCTTCAGATCTCTGATTTATAGAATAGAACTACGACTAAAGGGGATGCTTAACAGATGCTTAAATCCTCAGTTATTTATGCTTAATCTAATGCTACAAGAGAACCCTCGACTACTTCTAAATCAGACGCACAATCTCCATGGAGAGCAGAGAGTTTCCTAGAGGGTGCTCTCGTTTTCCTTCGCTGTATCTATGTCTGTCCTTGCTTAATGCATAATATCTGTTTATCATGTCGGTCTTTTCATCTCCAATCCTGCCAGGATCCGTACGCCTCGCTGGGCCAGCGACGCGGCCTCTCCGACAAAGACATCTCAAAGCTGAACGAGATGTACGAGCAGGACTGCAACGAGGGCTATCTGCTCAATTTCGATCGCTTCGGGAGCTACATCGACGAGCTGCTCGACTACTTCCAGGGCAACCTGCAGGAACTGTTCGGCTAGGGCTAGAGAGGAGTGATGCGAATAAAGCGGTGGGCTGCTAGGCCACAAAGAAACTGAATTGGCTCAGCTCGTCCAGGGTCTGGGCAGCCTCCAAGCGTATGGCCGGGCATAGCTGCTGCTCGGCCAGGGCCTGCAGGGCGCTCCGCAGGTCGGCGCCCCACATGCAGTGCACGCCGCGCAGACTGAAGCGGGCCAGCAGCCGTAGCAGTTGGCAGGCGCGCTGGCGCAGCAGCTGATGGCGGCTCTGGAGCAGGGCGGCGAAACGCAGACGGGGATTGAAGACGATCTTCTCCACCAGCTCGGCGTTCTCGGGCAGTTCGCGCAGCACGCAGCTCATCAGCGCCAGCATGCAGCCCGCCAGCCGCACCGAGTTCGAGTCCGAGTCAGCGTGCTTGAATTCTGCAAGAGATTGGATGTGGTTTGTGGTTTGTGGGTGGTGGATTACGGATTAGTTGCAGGATGGATCGTACCGTGGGTGAGGAAATTGAGAAAGAGATCGTTGACGGCCAGAATGGCCACCGCATCGCAGAATTGGCTGAGGAACTGCTGCTGCTGGTGCACCAAGTGGCAGACCAGCTCGTACAGGCTGCAGGCGGTGCTCATCTCCTCGACGCTCAGCTCCGGTATGCTGCGCATGGTGCGGCTGAGGGAGCCCATTGTGAGGGGAGCGGATGCCGCCGAGTCGCTCAGCTGGCGGTGCGAGAGGAGCAGCTTGCAGGCGTACATGAGATTGGGCACGAGCTTGACATCCACATAGACATTCCGGATCAGATCGAGATCGACCAGCATCAGCGGCTCGGCCAGCACAAAGGGCAGGGAGAGCAGCTGGGCCACGCTCTGCAGCACCTTGGGAATGGCCTTGGAGTTACGCAGCGGCGCCACAATGATGCTGACCAGATTGTGCTGCTTCAGCGAGTCAAACTCGCCGTCCATCAGCTCCTGTATGGAGCGGTGCAGAAAGGCCAGCCACTCATCGTTCTCGATCGGCGGGCTCTGCGACTCGTCGCAGCTGTCCCAGCCCGGCAGCAGGCAGGGCGGAGTATTGCTGACAACAAACAACAGATACAGAAACAGATTAGATGACCCGCACCCATGATCTTTTTTCCACTCACTCGCTGCTCAGCTTTTCGTCGTTGGTCGAGTGCATCGATTGCTTCAGCTGTTGCTGCTGCTGCTGTTGCTGCTGCTGTGGATCCTTGTCGCGCGATTTCCTCTCCTGGGCGGTGAGCATTTCCGTGGTCTTGCGTTGCGCCTCAGTGTCAATACTCTGGCCGAGACGCAGCGAGAAGTTGTCCAGATTCTGACTGAGTTTGCGCTTCTCCAGGTCCTTGCTGCGCGCCGATTGCCGCAGATTGAGGGCCGCCTTCAGCTTGGCGGCCACACCCTTGCCGCCTGCACCTGATGTTGCCGGCACCTCAACGGGAAAATTGTCGTTCAGGTGGTTCAGTATCATGTTGGAGTTGCCGCTCACGAAGCAGGTCTGCGAGTTGACAAGCGGCCCACCGCCGCCGCCTTCGCCTTCCGCAGCTTCGGAAGTGACTGAAGCGTTGGGCATGTCCCGGAAGGAGACATCGGCGAAGGGAACGAGCACGCGATGCCCGTTGTCCTCGGCATCCGTTTCCAGCTGCTCAATGTCGCTGGGGGCAATGGCGTTGATGCTGTCACGGGAGGTGCTCAGATTCTCGTTGGCCGCATCGCCAAGATTCAGCGCCGCCAGAACGTCATTCAAGTCGGCCGTCCGCTGGCTGGACTGTTTGACACGCTTGGGCGGGTCTTTGGGGGCCTTGGGATTTATGAAGGGCGAGGCTTGGGCGGCCTCTGCCTGCACCTCGGCTATGTAGAGCTTGCCCTCGACAAAGGGATGACAGAGCAGCTGCGTCCAGGAGATCCGCATGCCGGGATCCTTCTCCAGCAGGCCCTGCAGGAAGGAGCGGCACTCGCTGCTCAGCGTGCTCGGCCACTTGACGTCCTCGTGCTTGATCAGCTTCACCAGATGCAGGATGGAGGTGGCGCAGAAGGGCGGCTGCCCGGCCATGCTCTCGTAGGCAATGCAACCGAGGGACCACATGTCCGCCTGATGGTCGTACGGCTGCTCGGCCAGCAGCTCGGGGGCCATGTACAGCGGCGTGCCCTTGATGGATGTGAGCACGTGGGTGCCCAGGGTCATGTTGCGGGCCAGGCCAAAGTCGCAGAGCTTGGCGTGCATGTTCTTGTCCAGGAGGACGTTCTGCGGCTTCAGGTCGCGGTGCAGAATGCGATTCGAGTGCAGATAGTACAGGGCCGAGACCAGGTGGCCGATGACACGACGTGCATGCTCCTCGGGCATGGCCCCGTTGAAGGACAGATACCGATGCAGGTCCATCAGCGCGAATTCCGTGACCACGAAGAGGTCGAATTTCGACTCGAAGGACTCGATCATCTCGATGACATGCGGATTCTTGAGGCGCGCCTGGATGTCGCATTCCCTGCGCAGGTTCTTCAGCTCTCGATTCGATCGCCCACGCTGGAAAAACAGTAGAGGAGGGTGGGTGTGTGTGTGTGTGTGTGGTCATGGCTGTCGGGTACTTGTTGCATCCCACTCGCAGCGCGGCGCACGCACTTACCTTGGAAATGACTTTGATGGCCACCACCTTTTCGTCGTCGCGTCGCTGCGCCTTGTACACGCAGCCGAAGGAGCCTTGGCCCACCAGAGAGCTGACCGCGTAGCGGTTCATCGTGTCTCTGTCACTAGCCCAATCTCTGAGTGTTTTTATTTTTACAATTTATTTATTTATCTCAATCTGTGTGCCTGTTGATGCCGCCTACGCTGGGGCTGGAAGTGTGGCCAGATGCTTGGATCTGGCAACGCCGGCGAACGGAAACAACGGAAAATCCGCAAAGATTGGCTCAAAAGCTACAATGCCAATCCATTGGCTTCACGATCACTTTGTATAGCGGACTTGGGACTTCGAGCCACAAGTTGCAATGGAAATTTCCCTCCCAACAGGTCGTTTTGCTTGCCACAAGTGGCAACAAATCCAAGTGAAAAATCGATTGCGGGGGAGCGCAAGTGCTTATCGGCAGGTGGCCACCTCTACGGAACAGCTGATTTGTATTTTGTGTGTCTCTCAGTTCGGTGGTAAGGACAGGCGAAAGACATTATTGTGAAACAAATAATGATTGGTATATTGACACACAGATTCTGCAGAAGCCACACAGTAGAAGATAACGAGAAAACCGCAAACGCAGCACGATGCGCGAGCCCAATCTGTACATCATTCTCTCCACCGCGCTAATTGGTAAGTTGGGAGACTCAAGCAAAAGCTGCGGCCGGCCTGGGCCTGGGCCTGTGCGCCCGCCACCGCCCCTGGCAGTCGAACGAAGTTGGGCCGAAAGTAAACCTTGATTTTGCAGGCTCGGGTTTCTTCTTCCTGTATATGCAGCATGTGCGCGTCATCTTTGAGACGCGCACCAGCATCCAGACACTCAATCAGCTGGAGCGCGAGGCGCTACTGCGGCGCGAGGATGCCCTCTACTATACGTTCTACAAGAAGCTGGTCGATGGCCCGGACTTCTGGCACGGCTACGAGCAGCTCAAGAACGTCACCGACATTGAGTATCCGAATAGCGTGAATGTGCTGCAACGGTTTTACGTCCTGCCGGAGCTGGTTGCGGCGTAAGTAGCAACCCCCAACCCACACACCCCCCACACTATACATTGCTAATCTAATCGTATCGTCTCTGTGCAGCTACTTCTTTCACCTGGTACGATCCGGCTACAATCCGATACTCCAGCCGATGCAGTTCTACTTTGAGTTCGTCTGGCTGATGGGCGGCGTCACACTGCTGGTCCTCTACCTGTACGGCACGCTGCTCAGCGAGAATGTCTTTGGGGGCATATACGGCGTCATCTCGTACCTGATGTTCCACAGCTTCGTCTCGAAGATATACGAGCGGCCGGTGGCGCGCGAGAACTTTGCCTTCCCATTCATATTCCTGCAGATGTTCTATCTGTGCATCTGCATTGGGCGTGTCATCCACAGGCAGAAGCATAGCTCGCGTTTGTTCATGGTACGAGACGGGGAGGCTTCCCTCCCCACCCCACCCCCACCCCTGCCAAATTCTCGAATGATCCTGATTGCAATTCGAATTTCAGATATTTGTCTTATCGATGTTCACCGCCTGCGCCCTGCTCTCCTGGCAGTTCTCCACCATCATTTTTGCCACACAGATTATGATCGTGATGACCTCGTGGAACATGAACACCATGCCCACGAATGTGGCGAATGCGTTCGCCTTGGACTACTCGCTGTCGCATCTGCTGGGCAATGCGATCGCCTTTGTGCTGTCGCACGGGAACAGCCAGCTGCTGTTCACCTGGCAGCTGAGCGTGTCCACGAGCCTCTTTCTGATCACGGTGGTGCGGCAGGTGCGGAGTCGGCGGCACGTCAACGATCCGCTGCAGAGCGACTACTTCTCGTTCAAGTTCATCCTGCTGGCGCTGGTCTTTGCGGGCAGCATGCAGGAGAAGCTGGTGGATGTGCTGCGCCGGACGGGAGTGCTGAGTGTGCAGGACAACAACTATGTGCACTACTGCGACCTGTGGGCCCACTGGGCCTTCCAGGTGAACGTCAACTTCGTGACGAATCTGTCGGCCTGCAATCCGCTGTACGCCCGCGTTGCCTGGTCGGAGCTATGGCAGCTGGTGAAGACGCTGATCGTGAAGCCCTACTGCATGTACGGGGTGGTCATGCTGGCCATGTTCTTTCGCAAGTGGCGCAAGAGCAATGTGCCAACGACGGCCAGCCAGGAGCAGCGGGAACGGGCCCGCAACTACGTGCTGGAGGACTTCCTCGAGGAGCATCACGTCTCGATGACCGACATGTCCAACAAGCAGACCGAGCAGCAGCTGCAGCAGTGCTTCAAGATGCTCGAGAGCTGCGACCACGACTACGAGCGCTACAAGCGCAAGAAGGCCAAGCTGCAGCAGCAGCAGCCGCCCGCCCGCGACGATTTCATAAAGAACATCAAGCGCCTGAAGGCCCAGATCCATCGCAACAGCGACAAGCAGCGCAAGGAGCGGCAGCAGCATGCCACAAAGGATACCAAAGAGGAGGAACCGCCACTGGAGCAAGAGCCGGACGAAGACCAGGAGCCAGAGCTTGCCAATGCAGAAGAGGCGGCCGTCCACGAAGCTCACGAAGTGATCAATGATGATGATGAAACGCAGCCGTCCATGTCAGCCACCGAAGAGGAAGCCATGCCGTCGCCCGCCGGCAACGGAAGCGGTCAGCGGCGCCAAAAGCCGGCGGCGGCGACGGCGACGTCGACGGCTTCCATGCCAAATGCAAAAACTGCGTCGCGCCGCAGCAGCAGCGTGGTGCCCACAGCCAACACGCAGATCTTCAACATGCACTACATGTACAGCTTCCTGCAGATGCTCGTCTTCACAATACTCGGCCTGGCCGTGCGCAAACTGTTCTTCCTCAGCTTCACCCAGGGCTGTGTGATAGCCCCCACCATATGCTCCAAGGTGTGGTATCATCGCCAGCGCAATATCTTCTGGTCCGTCTCGCTGGCCGTCTTCCTACTCAGCATGTTCGATCCGGGCATGGTGGTGAGTAACCAGCCCCTAGCCTCTAGCCTCCAGCTTGGGTACTAGCTTCTAATGCCTCCCTTTGCATCCCTCGAGCAGAACATACGCGAGGAGTACTTCCCAGCGAAATATGAGCACAGCGCTGACGATCTGGAGAGCATGCTCGAATGGATCAAACTGAACACGGAACGCGATGCGGTCTTTGCCGGACCCGTCGAGATTATTGGCACCGTCCACTTGACCACCAGGCGGCCCATTGTGAATCATGCCCATCTTGAGATGCGACAAATGGCGTAAGTAAATACCCAACCCTCACCCTCACCCCCACCCACACCACTTTTTGCTTTTGTCTCGCTCTAATTGATGTGTCTGGCATGCCTCCTCCCCTCGCTCTCCCACAGAGACCGCACAGAGCACGCGTATTCGGTGTACAGCCGCCAGCAGTCGTCGGACATCTACAAGCAGTGCGCCGAACTGAAGATCCAGTACTTGATCATATCACTAGACGAGTGCACCAACGAAGTGCGGTGAGTGCCCAGGGCAAAATCCATTAACCAACTGACGCTCATGCCGTTTCCGATGCACCCTTTTGCAGCGACGATTGCGATCTGTTGTCCATTTGGGATGACAAGCAGCCGGCGAATCGCAAATATCCGCAGTTCTGTCACGAGCTGCTGCACAAGCAGGTGCCGAGCTTCCTGAAGGTGTACACCAACGACAACTATGGCATCATTAAGATGTTCTCGCAGAGTGTGCAGATCATACTGAAGCACGCAAAGATGCCCGAGATGGCCATGTGAGGTCGGTCTCGCTTCGGCTGGGAGGACTGGACGGGTTGGGTTGGGGAGGGGGAGAATCGACTGTGTTTTACATAGATTGTGACTAGGAACTAGCATTTTATTATGTACGATTATCTATTATCTATTATGTATTATGTATTTACGTTTACTTTTACGTTTAGTATTTCTATGGTTTGCATCCATTTGCAGCCTTCTGCCACAGCCCTCCATCAGCACCAGAACCAGCACCAGTTCCACGCCCAGTCCCAGTTCCAGTCCCAGTGCCTGTTCCTGTTCCTGTCCCTGATAGGGGGAGAGATATATCGACACCAAAAGAGATAGAAAAAACACCTTCCCGATAGCTAATGACTGGATTGCATTTAAGCAGCTTCGACTCTGTTCAGACTCTGTTTTTCGTTTCGTTTGGATCATTCCCTTGTGCCCCTCCACTTCCCCTCGTGCATAAGTTACTCTAGCTGTACGGATCGACTCTAAACTTTAAATACTTTCGTTAAGTTTAAGTTTAAGCTAAGCTTTTTACATTTAAATTTACGACACAAACGTAGTGGACGGACGTGGACGTGGACGCGGACGTGGATGCGCGTGTGCGCCTGTCAGAATGTAGTATATGGATGGTATGGAGTAGTAGCGTAGCCCAGCCGTGCGCCGTGCAAACTTAAACCCAAGCCAGGCAACAACAGAATTTGCCTGGCAGCAACAAACAACAACAACAACAACAAAAAGATTATAAATAAAGTTGAAAAATACCTATGTATATATATATATATATATATGGCTATATATATATATATATATAGATGTGCTTATTGTACTGACAAAATGTCGCGTAAACCTAAAGGAAATAAATATATTTTTGTTGTTTGGCTTTAGTTGCATTTCGTGTGCATATTTTGTGGAAAAAACAGAACCTGCCCAGGAAAACTCTATTGCCGGCACAATTTGAAAATCGATAGCAGCATCCACTATCGATAACAACTCCACACTTTGCCAGTGTGCGAATATGACTATGCCTTCCAGCAGTCCCATATACCCGTGCACCGTTTACCAACACTAGCCCTGTGAGACGCATTTTTCCTGTCACTGCATAGAAAAATCGAAAATATTAGTATTTGGGCGTAGTAAAAAAAGCAAACAATCATCATGCTATATCTGGAAGACTACCTGGAGATGATAGAGCATCTGCCCCAGGAGCTGCGCGACCGTTTCACAGAAATGCGAGAGCTTGATCTGGCCGTGCAGAGTGAGTACCACCCCCAACACCACCCCCACAAATGCTAAAAACTTAGCCCCCCTTTTGTTTGCTTGACATCCAGACAACATGGACTCGCTGGACAAGAAGTCGCACCTGTTCTTCAAGCAGTGCAAGCGCGACGAGCTGCAGCACGAATCCATGGACACCGAGTTCCACAGCCTGCGCACAGAGTACTTCAAGGTGATGGAAGACGCCGACGAGAAGGTGGCCATTGCCACCCAGATACACGAGCTCGTTGAGCGCTACCTGCGCCGCCTGGACAGCGAGCTTTTCAAGTTCAAGTGCGAGCTGGAGGCGGACAACAACGGCATCACCGAAATTCTCGAGCGTCGCTCGCTCGAGCTCGACGGCAACTCCACGGCCGCCACAGCCCTGCTGTTGAGCATGAACCAGAAGGAGAACCGCTACTACGGGGCCAGCTCGATCAACAGCGCGGCGGGAATCATCACCAGCACAGGCAGCATTGGCACAGGACCGACCAACCTGGGCCTACCGAGCTCCGGCATTGGCTCCGTCGCTGGCAGCGCCCTCACCAGCATAGCCAGCTCCCATCTGAGCAGCAGTCAGCGGCATCGCAAGCTGGAGAAGCGTCGCGAGACGATCTGCACCGTGCCCGTACCGGAGAAGCGGGCCAATCTCAACCACTCGCTGCCCACCGTAAGTGCCGCCTCATCCTCCGTCTCCGCAGCAGCAGCAGCGGCCGCAGCCGCTGGTCTGGCCGTCCATCCAGCACATGCGGCGGCCCCCAATCACGTAACCAACAGCATCGCCGCCACCCACCTCACCCTGCCAGTGGCCGTGGGTGTTGGGGGTGTCGGCGGTGTCGGCGTCGGTGTGGTTGGGGCAGCCAGCAGCAGCCTGGGCAACAGCTCGCTGGTCAGCAGCGCCTCCGTGGTCCGTCAGCTGCCCACGAATCTGAGCCAGCACTCGGGTCACGCCGGACACAGCGTACTCAACAGCTCGGCGGTAGCCGTGGCAGCTGCCCTATCTTCGACTGGAGTGGCAGCAGCTCCGACCCATGGCCATGGCCACGGGCACAGCCACAGTCACGGACATAGCCACAGCCACGGGCATGCCCACAACCAGACCCACAGCCACAGCCATGGGCATGGTCATGGACATGGCCACGGCCACGCCTCGCACTCGACTAATAACACCACAGTCACCTATAACCTACAGCAATTGGGCGGCGGAACGGCGGCCTCCAGCGCCATTGCGGCCGCCGCCAGCCAGGCGATCGTGGCCACACAGCAGATGCAGCAGGGACGACGCACGGCGAGCCTGAAGGCCAGCTATGAGGCCATCCATGGGGCTGGGACCACCGCCGATTTCTGGTCGACCGCAGGACAAGGTACTCTGCAAACTGGAGGAGCGGCAGTGGGCACGGCACAGTCAACACTGGTCACGGCCGGGGCCGTAGGAGGCGCAGCATCGCACCACCACCATCAGCAACAGCAGCAGCAACAGCAGCAGCAGCAGCACCACGGCAGCAGCCACCATCACCACAGCAGCCACAGCGGCAGCAGCCACCACCACCACCACCAGGACAAGAAGCAGAGCAAGAAGAAGATGAGTGCCACCATTGCCACGATGCCCGCTTCGATTGCTGTGCAGTCGGCTCTGGCCGGCTCTTCCTCGGGCAACTCCATTGCCTCGTCGTCCTCCTCCATGAGCGTGGACTCTGTGGACATGCTCTCGACGGCTGCTGCCGTCCTGGGCGGCATGGGCATGCCGCATGGCTCACAGGCCATGAACACGGCAGCTGGCGGCATGAGTGCCAGTCACGTGACCACTACGATGGCCACCAATGTGGGCAACGTGACATCGGCCATCGGCATGGCCCCCACGACGCTGGTGCCGGGCTCCAATCTCAATATCGGCGAGATCGGACTCGTACTGGAGCAGCCGAACGAGGGCGAGTGGTCGTACGATCCCAACGAGCCGCGCTACTGCACCTGCAACCAGGTGTCATACGGCGACATGGTGGCCTGCGACAACGACGCCTGTCCGTTCGAGTGGTTCCACTACCCATGCGTGGGCATCACCCAGCCGCCCAAGGGCAAGTGGTTCTGCCCCAAGTGCACCGCCACCATGCGGCGCAGGGGCAACCGCAAGAACTGAGGCTGACTCAGGTTGCTGGCGCCCTTCCGTGGTAGAGGGTGGCTGCGACGCTAGAGTACTTAACAATGTCTACCAGAGAATAATAATACACACACAAAATACATAATACAATAACAATCGAAATGAATAAATATGGAATTAGGAGTTGCGCAGGAACACAAAAAAAAAAGAAGAAATCTCGAAAATTCGTTCGTCTCTTGTTTTGGCTCTGGCGGTGACACTTTCAAATTTCCCGCTGACGACCCCCCAATCGATAGCTATCGATAGGCTGCGCGGCCAGAGATGCGCACTGGCAGCCCCGACCTAGGTTTTCTTTTGTGTTTTGCTTGCAACCCCCACCCACTTGCATTCTGCTTGACGGCAAAAGAAAATTTTCACTGTCACTCTTGTTTCTGGTCGCTTCCGCAGCAGCTTTGTCCTGTCCCAACAGCAGTGCAGTGAAGAAGGAGTGGGCGTCACATAAAGCAGCCATACCATACCCACACGGCAGCCAGCAACGGCCTGAAAATTGTCAAGATACGCAAAAGCAAGAAAATGAGCTACAATGAGAAAACCGAAGCCATCAGCAAGGAGGAATGGCTGCAGCGCCTCGAGCAGTTCCCCTTCAAGCAGGCGGACATGAATCGCTTGATTATGAACTACTTGGTAACTGGTAAGGAAACGACGCATCCAAAATGCAAAATCCACATACCACATCCCGCATCCCGCCCGCCCACGTACCCTCCACGACTTGTGCCCGTTGCATCGATTATTCCCGTTTTCTCCCGTTTCGTTTCATTGCGTCTCATCGCCTGTGACTGGCTGCAGAGGGTTTCAAGGAGGCTGCCGAGAAGTTCCAGCACGAAGCCGACCTCGAGCCGAGCGTGGAGCTGAGCAGCCTCGACGACCGCATCCTCATTCGTGAGGCAGTGCAGGCGGGCCGGGTCGAGGAGGCCACCCACCTGGTGAATCAGTTGCACCCGGAGCTGCTGGGCGGCGACCGCTACTTGTTCTTTCACTTGCAACAGCTGCAGCTAATCGAACTGATTCGCGCCGGCAAAGTGGAGGAGGCTTTGGCTTTTGCCCAGAGCAAGCTCTCCGAGTCCGGCGAGGAGGCCATGTTCGAGCTGGAGCGCACCCTGGCCCTGCTGGCCTTCGAGAAGCCACAGGAGAGCCCCTTTGCCGATCTGCTGGAGCAGTCCTATCGCCAGAAGATCGCCAGCGAGCTCAATTCGGCCATTTTGCGCTGCGAGCACAGCGAGGATTCCACACCAAAGATGATGTTCCTGCTGAAGGTCATCCTGTGGGCCCAGTCCAAGCTCGACAGCCGCTCCATCAGCTACCCCAAGATGAAGAATCTCGAGACGGCGCATCTCGAGCCCAAGTAGAGAATCACACTACACACCACAACACACCAACACACCACACCCTACACCCCACACACACACACACACCCACACACCCCAAGGAGCAGTAGTACTCTTCGTTGCCGTCGCCGCCGCCGCCGCCGCCGCGCAGTTAATACACACTTCTATTGTATCATTTTTTTTAAATATGAATGTATGTATGTATGCAGTATAGGATTTACGCAGTGTTTAAGAAGTAAATAAGTTAATGGAACGCGAGCCGTCTCCGGGCCCCCTAAACAAAAACAAAAACCAAACTCCATTGTAGATTGCATTTTCTAGGGAAGATGTGGGTAGTGCTGCTGCCTGCCTGCCCATGATCATGCTCATGCTCTCATGCTATCATGCTCGTGCTGTTCGGCTGCTTCCTCACCAGCCAAAAAGGAGATCCATTGCCTTGTCGACCAGCCCGCTGCTCTTTGTGGGCACATCTTTAGCCGGCACAACCTTTGCATCGTTCTGGGCCAACTTGTAGGATTGCTGCACAAAGGGACGGATTCTTGGCGATTTTGGGCTCTGCATCTGCTCTCCAGCGTTCAGCGATGACGTCGACAACGACGCATTGCAGTTCTCCTTGTCGACAATGGACTTTTCCGTGCAGCTGGTGACGCCCACCATCACATTGCCGCCGATCACCTTCTGGTTAAAGTTGAGCGCCTTGTCGCTCTCGATGCGCGAGGAGAAGCGCACGTGCATCCAGTTGCCATTCTTTGGGGCATGCGACACCTCCACAATGGTGCCGCAGAGCGTAAAGTGCTGCAGCACCATTGAGCTGCTGCCCGGCACGTAGCCGAAGATTGTTACCCAGAAGTCACCGGACCTCGGGCTGCTGACGCCGTCGACACCGCCGCATTGCCCACCACCGCCCAGAGGCGACATCGGGGCGCCCAGCGGCGAGTAGAGGCCCCGCATCGAGGCGTTGATGTTATTTTGCGTGATTTGCACGAACGATTCGTTGCTGTAGGATTTCTGGTATGGAATTTGGCTCTGGTTCAGGCTCAGGTTCTGCGACTGATTCAGCAGGCTCAGATGATGGCGCTGCGGGGTGTACGGCGACTGCTCCCTCAGCGACTCGAACAGCCCCTGGGTCGGTGGCCCGGTCTGGTGGTTGTGGCTGCTGACTGCCGACATGGACACGGCCGAGTTTGAGCCCTGGCCCCCGGAGCCATGTGGACCGCCGCTGCCGCCTCCCGGGCCGAAGAACGTGTTGATCCCGGACCGGTTGAAGTCGTGCGACGCTGAGCCGGTGGGCGATGTGGCTGCAAGCGGGAAAGAGTTGCTGCAAGTTAGGGTTTGTCGATGGCGGCCAATTAAATGAGATCGCTTACCGAAGCTAACGTTGTAGCGTCCAGGCTTCGGGGAGAGCGTGTTCTTGTGCGGCGTCATGGCCTGGGGATCACCCATCAGGAACGGGGGCAGGTACTGGCCCTGGTTGCTGTTGGGGCTGTTGACGGGACTGCCTAGAGTCATGGGTTCCATTTTACGGGTTGGCAAAGAGACAAAAAAAACCGGGAAAAATATACACAAATTTACAAAGTTGGCCGCCGCCTACAGATCTGGGCCATTGTTGATATTTCGCCGCTGATCGATAGCCTCAAAAGTATCGATGCGCGAAAAGCATTCCTGCGCACAAGCATCGACAGTGGCCAATATCGATAGCTGTTGCTATCTCTAGTTGTGCACCTCTAGTCATATTGACATTCAATTCCAAACACTCGGTCGGGCACGCGTGTCTTTGCGCCTTTTTGCCTTTCTCCTTTTTTTTTTTACTCTTTAAACACAACTTTACATTTTTCGACAATTTCGTGGCGCGTACAGGCAACACAGAAAAAAGAAAACAAGACAAATCGTTGGCCCTGCTGTGGATGTGTCAAACGCCAGTGTTATTCATGTGTGACACAACATAGAAATAAAACATACAACAACATACACCTTGCAGCTGGAACAACATAGGAATTAGGCGTCGCACTGGTCGAGTCGAGGGAAGGTCCTGGGAAAGTGAACAATACTACATACATATAGCCACTCCGCAGCGAGATACAGGGTGCCATGTGGAGTCCCACACACTGCAATGTAACGGGTAAGTGGGGGATCTCGGTTCCGATTCCAGCCGACAGACACCCGTCATTGTCGTGATTTTGCCTCTAATTTTTTTTAGGATGGCAAATAAATCGCATTAAAAATTAAACTCGTTTCTATGCGCGTGTGTTTGTATTGGTCTGGTCTGGTCCGCTGCTTGCATTTGTTCATACATGTGCATGAGTGTGTGTGTGTGTGTGTGTGAGAGTGCTTTAATATTGTCATGACAGAGACAACAGTTAAGTCGTTTCTGTTGTGCTCTTGCGCTGCGGTGCCTTCAGTTCAGTCAGCAGCTTTTGTACCTATTCCGACATCTTATTTGAAATTTCACTTTTTCGAATCCCCTCTCCCTTCGCTGCGCTGCTCTGCTCTCTTTTGCACAGTTTTCCCCCATTACTTTTGGCTGTGAAGGCACCTCTGCTTTTGCGTGATTGTTTCTATCAGTGGAGTGGAGCAAGTGCTTGCTGTCTGATAAGATTGTGTCTGTCCGTCCGTCTGTCCTTCCTCTGCTTACTCATAGCCCAGAGCTGCTGTCATAAGGAGAGGCATGCTCTTCAATTCACGACGAATTTCCCTGATTGATCATTCCAAATGGTTAATGGTCGATGGTGATTTCTCTCCCCCACTCCCCACCTATACCCGCATTTGCTGATTCGCACATTCTTGCGCATACCTCTGCACCTCTGCTGATTTCAGTGCAGCCCTGCGCTGCTGTTTATGTTTTCATTGTGTTGTTTGTTTCAGGGCTGAATTCCAATGAGAAATTCGTGCAAAAATATTCAAGCGCTGCTGCTCGTGTCCAAAACAGAAAGAGCTCGTCGGTCTCTATCTCTCCCTCTCTCTGTGTCGCCGCTTGTTCATAATTATGAAAACAAATATCGAGTAATTAACTACAAGTAAAATTCGCATGGGTATTGTGTTTGTGTTTGTCTAATTAATGTGTAGCTTAATGGCCCAAGCAAATGACTCATAAATTGTTGCGAAAGCTTCAGGAACGTAAACTATGCAGATAGGCAGAAACAGGTAGAGAACAGCACAATGTGTGTGAGATGAGACTGAGTTTCGATAAATAAACACACACACACACACACACAGGTAGCAGATAAAGTGTGTGTGGTTGTGGGTGTGAGAGATCGGAGCTGAATCAAAGTTTGACAAATAAACAGTTAGGTTGAGAGAGTAATAGGGGAAGGGAAGGGATGAAATCAGAGCCGAGAGAAAGAAGAAGGGAGATGGAGAGAGTCTGTGCTGCTCCCACGCCTGCCTTTCCACCTTGAACTTGCCCACCAGCAGCAGCTATCAGCTTTGTGTTCTTTGTCGTCTCTTTAAATCTGTTTTCCCTGTTCTGTTTTCTCGTTTTGCCATTTGCACAGTTCTCGCATAGCTTCATTCCAGCAGCAGCAGCAGCAGCCACAAAGAGCATTGACGTCACACGTCGAATGGCAAACAAATCAATCTCTCCCTCACTCCTGTTGCTGTTGTTGTCGTGCGTTGGTTTCCTTCGCTCAGGTCTTGTTTGCACTCTCTCTCTTTGCACACACACACACAGGTAGGCAGCACGCACACTCAGAGTGGGACTTATCTGTTCTCGTGTCAATATTTGCACTCGAGGTGAGCGCACGCCAGAAGCTCGGGGAAACAGCTGTTTAGCTGTCTGGAGCTTTTGATGTAGTTTGAAACAGAAATCCCGTGTCGACCGAACCTATTAGATCATTCGACACTGGAGTCCAAACCCTCCCTGCCTTGCCCACCAGAAACTTTGTCCGCCTGCTTTTTGGGTGGGGGAAGTTGCGGCATTCTTATTGACTCAGCGCGCCCATGGGCGTCGGGCCTCGGGCCTCCACCTCAAAGTTGTCTAATTGCGTGCGTTATTTTTAGCCGTAAATTCTTGGCGGCCACTCACTTGGCCACAAGCACGCACACACACCTGAAATTTCCTGAGGATATTGTGCAATGCGGCTGGTAGCAAAGCAAACTCCAACCCAAAACAAAACACATTTCCGTTTTTAATTTTGTTTGGTTTTGTTTTGTTTTGTTTTGCAACGTTTTTGGTTGCATGGAGCACCCTCTGTCCATCTGTGACCATCGACCATCGATATCGATAACGCTTCGTGCAGGAATGCGCTCTTGTTGTTCTTGTTTATGTGTAGAGGTAGTGTTGTTGGGGTGGAGGTGGATCGGATCGATAAGGAAACCGTTCTGATAATACCCTCTCGAAGAGTGGAGAGGGTGTAGAGAGTGGTAGCACTTTGGTCACGTAAGAGTGCAGATGGCGTCCTTAGTTTGCTCTGATTTATACACCTATCGCCGCTTCCTCTGCGGCTCCCCGCTCCCTCCATTCCACTTCTTTCCGTTTTTGCCCCCCAACCCCCCGCCTGTGGACCGTTTTAATGTTGCTCTCGCGATGCACTTGTGCGAAACAGTTACATTTCATTGCCCGACCCATTTAGCCGTGCCATTCGCCAGGGTGAAGAGTGGTGGTATGGGGTGGGGGGTGAGAGAGGGAGAGAGAGAAGAGACCAGAGAACAGATGGAGGGGAAAAACAGGTATGGGATCGCATCGGATCGGATCGCATCTGCGACTGCGACTGCCACTCTCTGACTCTGCGATTGCGGGTCTCCAATTGATTATTTTCCAGTTTGCGTTGACTTGTGGCTTGTGGAGTTGCTGGCCACATTCCTTGGGACCAATTTCAGACGCCGGCTGCCTGCCCGGGCACTGGCAACGGCACCAGAAACAGAAACAGCAACAGCACCAGCTCCAGCGGTAGCCATCTCCCAGTTCTCACCTCTGCCTGTTGTGTTCCCCTCATGCATATGCATGCTGGGATTGGGATGGGAGCAGACGAGTCAAGATTCTTCTGCCTCTTTGCATTTATATTCAAAGCATGCAATGATCCCCAATCCCCATGCCGCCCATCCTCCACCGTTTCCATGTTAATTGGCTTTCATTTGGGAGGGGGAAAACTCTGTTTACAATTTCCAAATCCAACCGCACAACCACTGAAAAATGCAGCAAATGCAAGAAACTTTTTATGCATAAAAATAATACAAAAAAAAATCATCCGCGAGCAAGAGTTGATAGACTAGATGCGATACCCTCGAAAAAGGAAGTTCCAACGGCAGATACAGACACATAAATTATATATTTAATCCTAACTATTCGTAAATGTTTTTCGTTTTTCCCGCTGCAAATCCTAACTTTTGCCATGGCTGGGTATTGGCGGATGGAGTGGTGGGGAATTGCACTGGTATAAGTACATTTAATAGCTGATTTTATTCGAATATTCGCACGATTTGAAACTATTTGTTACTGTTGCCTGTTGCTGTTGCAGTTGCAACATGGAATGGCATTCGCTTAATTATTGGTGGCAATGCTGCTTTGCTGCTGTGTTTTTTGTTGTTTTGTTTTGTATCGGACTGTGTGGATTAGGCCACAGTTCGACGATCCCTGCGTACAGACAGCGCTGACCTGGCCTGACTCTCTTGGCCTGGCCAACGTTTTTCAGTTGATCCTAGGGAGCACCAGGTCAGGTCAGGGCAGTGCAGGGCAGGGCAAGTCGAATGGGAAATTGATCTCAGTCTAGCCGAAGAGGAGAGGGTCTGCCAAGTGCGGTATTGCCTCATTAGCATGCGTGTGGATGCCTCCGAGGAGCATTGGCCTCCGGCGGCAGCACACTGTGTCGGTCGTCTGCTTTGTGTCTTTCTCTGGCATGCTGCCACGCCCTCCCGCACCCCGACACACGCACACACAGCAAGAGGCAGCCCGAAAGCCAGAAAAAGTGGAACATGAAAAAGCGTCTCTCTCGGAAAGTGCGTGCTGGGAATTCTACATTTATGTTTATGTATGGGGGAATGTAATGGATTGGATTGTGCTTGTTAAAGAGTTCTCTCTGCCATTCTCCGCTCCCTATATAGATGATCCGATCGGTGCCCTATATATCCGCCAGAGACATGGGCCCGCCCGGGCCCTATGTACAGTCAATTCGGTTTCTAATTGAGAGAAGTAAAAAGCTATGGGAGTAATCGCCATGACTCCAAAACATGCTGTGATTTGTGTGTGTTTGGAGATGAAGAAACTCTGTCTTTTTTTGTTTTTTTCCCTTGCCCAACCAACGTGGATTTTCTCTTTGGGGGGAAAATGGAAAATGAGTGGAAAAGAGTGGTGGAGAATTGTGGTCACCACCTGCGGGTGAATTTGTTGCGGGGAATTACGGCGGCGGCAGCCCATAGATGCACAAGCCAGAAATCCAAAAGCGGTATTAGGGGAGAGACAATCAAATGGAGAGCAAAAGGCAGAGCACAGCAGAGACTGAGAATGATTTCATAGAAATTAATTAACCCAACAGTTGACCTCTCCTCTACACACACACACACACACACAGAAGCAATAGCCGCAAAGGTTAACAAAATGCGACGACAAATGGACCCACGGGGTCGCATAAAGCAACAAAATAAAGGTGCAGCCGACATCTACACACACACACACATACGTAGCTCTGTATCCATTGTTTCTATCTATCTATGCCCCCTCCCTCCGCCTAGTGTCTCTCTCTGTTTTAGTCGGTATCGACAGGAAAGCAGTATACAAACCTTAGCTTATATTGTATGTATATATGTATATCCTGTTATATATGTATCTTCAGTTCCGTATCCATACGATGATCGAGATAAATATGTATGTAAGTTCCCGGGGGAGCAAACGGAACACTACTCGAAGCAATCCGCTGGCCGCTGGGAATTTCTCTTTTTTTTTTCTTCATCTGAGCCGCCGTTATTTTCGGAGTTTTTGGTTTGAAATGTGGGCCAAGCAAGAGCCACAAGAAAGAACGAGAAATGAGTCACCTCCTCCCCCCCTCCTCGCCCGATAGATATCGTTGCAGTAGTGCGAAGTTCCATGGGAATGACTAACTGATGATTTCCGATCCCTACAGCTGAACACAAGAGATAACACTGGAGGGTCTGGGTCTGGGTCTGGGACTGGGAACGGGAACTGGTGTTGGTTTTTTTTTGTTGTATTCCATGATGGTTGGTTAGGTAATTGCAATTGGATCAAAACTTTATTTATAAGTATCGTAAAACATTTTTTGCGTATTTCCGAGTGAGTAATGACCGAAGATTGCAATACGAGTGTACATTTCCGTTAGATATTTATCAGGGGAAGGGGGAAAGGGAGAATCATTGATCCTCCTATTCGATTCGACCTTCTCTCGCATACAAGCGCTTTCATTTACCGCTACCCCACCCACTACACTACACCCTCTCTTTCTCATCAGAGTTTGTGTGTGTGTGTGTGTGTGTGTGGGAGCGGCGCCTACGTTCGTGGATGACGCCAGCCAACCAGCCCTCTATGTGCTCTCGGACCAAACAAAACTCTCAATTACGAAACCCCAACCCAACCCCCGACCTCCCTCACTCGTTCCCGTCGCGAATTGAATTTGAGGAATGAGTGCAAAAAGTGTTGGGCTTCTGTTTTGGCAGCACTTTTATCGCGTCTCTCTATCAGATCGAAACATTCACAAAGCTCGCGGCTAGCGGCAGCGGTGGCGGTGGCGGCGGCCCACATTGCTATGCCCTGCGCCGTAGACCCCCAGGCCCCAGGCCGGGAGTCCCGTGGCGCGACGAAAAGCGAAAACTAAATGTTTAAATACGCAGCAACTGCCCACGTTGCACAGTGGGGTCGCATTAATCAGTTGGTTTGTGATCAGCTACCGAGCTGCACCGGCAAACATTCGATGAGAGTGACCGCTAAACGGGCACTCTTGACCCACTGTGCGGCACTGGGCAGCTGAGAGGTGGCCATAAAAGCGGACCAACTTAACGGTGGATCGCGCGCGCGCGTCACCTCACCTCACCTCACCCCTCCCTCCCTTCGTCAGTCTTCTCGTTCCATCTTTTGGCGTTTCTTTTTTGGCGCTGTTTGCCATGTTTATTTCTTTACCTTTTGCCATTTGCCATTTAGCATTTAGCATTTCTATTTTCGGGATGGGGGGAGTGGGAGGACACACACATACACAATGTGCACATGCATGTAAATATATATGTATGGCTCATACAAGAGTCCATCGATCTTTGCATTTGCATGTTTCTCGCCGCTGATGAGTCGCTGCTGCTCGCGAAATTGCAGAAAATTGCAGCCACCACCGCCGACGCCGCCGGGCGGGTTATTGACAGCCATTGGAAGCCCATCTATCCATACATCCATCCATCTTCTCGTCTATTACAGTTCACTCCGGTTACCGTTGGTTGGTTGGTTGGTTGGTTGGGAGCGAGAGAAAGGAGAGAGAGAGAGAGCAAGAGCAAAAGAGAGATTAAAGATGAGCATGTGGCCCGCCGATTATTGCTGCCGATCGATAGCCGCTTTGGTGTGCAGCAGGTACAGGGTGGAAGGGGAGCAGTGGAGGAGGTAGCTGTAATGGGAGCGGGGATTGTGGATTATCGATAGCGTCCAGACGGACTTCTTGTCTGTTCCGGATCGTCTTTAACCTCAATTACGGAGACAAAGAAGAAGCAAACAAAACAACAACAAAAAAACGGGAAGAGGAGACAAAAAAAACTTCCCAAATTGGCTTAAGTTATGCCCGCGCGACGCGAATGTGCGGGCCAAAGCAAAATGTTCGCTAACGGGCGGGAGATGGCAAGAAAAAAACTGTTAATGCGATAATAATTATGAGGCAGCGTCCCCGCACCGTCCACCACACACAGTGTCTCAAGATGAGATGCAGCTGTGGTGGGGAGGGGGGGGCAAACCCCAAGTGTCACTGCCCAAAAATCTAAATGGAAATTGGAAAGAAACAATAAGAAATCTGCAATATGCGCGATCAGATGCCACATGCCACATGTGATGTTTCTTTTCTAGTTTACATACTGATGTATGTATGTATGTCTGTACTTGTATTTATTTATGTACGTTAATGCTTTCAGCGACATGTTCGCGTGCCTGCTCATGCAGGCGGAGGAAAAAGCCGCCGCCAACGCCACCGCCGCAAACGCTTTTCACTTTGCCGCTTTTGCCCCGTAATTGTTTTTGTTGTTATGAAACTTTGGCGCAATTTCTCCGGATGGCGAGAGGAATTGCGCAAAAGCGAATGATTATGCTGCGTAATTGAGTAATCGAAAAATCGAATAATATCGTGGGACCTGCTCCTGCTGCTGCTGCTGCTCCGCCCAAGCGGCCTACAGAGTTCCGCAACTGTGGAGTTCGTTTCATGCACAGGCCTATAAATAGTAGCCCCCCGTACCAGCGGCGTACCTTCTGGGGCTGCTGCTGCTGCTGCTGCTTTCTGAATGTCTGTTCTGGCAATGACTTAATTTAATTTTTGTCGCCCTGCCTTCTGCCCTCTGCCCCCTGGCGTCTTCGTTTTCAATTTAATTTCCATTTCCGGCAGCTGTGCAGCGACGAGCAGAACACACACAGCCGAAGGTTCGCAATCGGAGCCACAGCCACAGCCCAGAGTCAGATTCAGAGTCAGATTCAGAGTCAGATTCAGCGCAAGGTCTACCCCGAAATTATAGCAAATCTAAGCCAAGCATTTGTCGCAGCTCGCCCGCTCGCCCGCTCGAGTGATTCACAGCCCGAAAATGGCGCTGGAAAGCAGCAAGCTTTAAGTTTCACTCCAGCGCCTCGTGACCTCGCGAGGCATCCGGGGCAGCGCTCAGATATGAAAGCCACCACCACGCCACCACGCCACCGCACAATCACAATTTTGGCCCCAACTCACACACCCTCACCCCACACCCCTCCCCCACTCAATCCTCCACCATTTGGAATTCCAAGGTCTCAATCCCAGCATTGTTTTCCAGTTACATTTATGCATGGATCTTTCTCTGCCGTCTATCCATCTGCACGAGATTCCAGCCATAATCCAAATCTAATCCCCCTCTCCCTCTGCCTCTCCCCTTCTTCGTTACAGTGCAGCGGGCGAAGGGCCTGCTCACCAAGGGCAAGAACGGCACCAACAACTGCTTCGTCACAATCGCCCTGGGCAAGGAGAAGTACCAGACGTCGGTCAAGGACAAGTCCGAGGCTAATGTCAACTGGAACGAGGAGTGTGAACTGTAAGTGGGATGGGATGGGATGGGATGGGCTGGGATTGGCCATGAGATTCCTCTTGATTTCTTTATGTTCTCTTCTCTTCGCTTCAATAGAAAAATCCCCGATCAGGGCAACCGGGCAGAGCTGACGCTCACCTGCTTGCACCGCAATAATCTGGGCATCGATGAGTTCCTGGGGCAGGCGACGCTGCCGCTCAACGAGATGGACGTGTACGACAGGCCGCGCTCCAAGTGGTTCAAGCTGGAGAGCAAGCCGGGCAAGGAGAAGAAGAACAAGGAGCGCGGCGAGCTGGAGGTGCGCATCGGGTTCGTGGTCAAGTCCGGCTCCCTCACGGACCTCAGCAAGAAGGACAAGCACAAGTCTTCCATTGGGCAGCTGGCCAGCTCCGTCGGCGGCAGCCTGCTCTCCATCGGCAACGGGGAGAAGCGCAAGAGCATAAAGAAGCTGGCGGGGTCGCTCAGCTCCAAGCTGCATCTGCGCAGCAAGAAGAAGCACGCGGACGCCGGCGGCGACGACAACAGCTCCTTCAGCGGCTCCTTTGCCAGCATCGGCACCCCGAACAGCTCCACCGGCGGCCCAGGGGGTAGCGGCCGCCGCCGGGGCCAGCGGGCGGGCGAGGCCGATCCCGGCGTGATCAGCGAGGACGAGGATGAGTTCGTGTTCGACAATCTGTCGCACAAGAGCTCCGGCAGCTCCCTGAACATCCAGCGGTCGGGACTCCAGCCGCCACCCACCACCACGGGGGGAGGAGCGCCCAATTTCGCGCCCCGCAATCCCTCGCCCCTGCTGAGCAATGGGAACGGTGGTGGGGGCCTGGGCAACGGCCTGGGGGGCATCGGGAACGGCGTGGGAAAGGTCTATCATGGAGGTAAGCCCAAAAAGCCAGAGACGCTCGATGAGGATCCGCCCATCGATGCGGAGATGGAACAGCTTGAGCTCGATTTCAGTGTCCGCGCTCGCACCCTGCCGCCTCCCTCGAAGCCGCCGCGCATCCCCCAGCTCCAGCTGGAGCAGGAGGAGGAGGAGCAGCAGCAGCAGGCCGAAAAGGAGCAGCAGCAGCAGCAGAAACAGAGGGAACTGGAAATGGAGAGGGAACGGGAACGGGAAAGAGAGAAGCAAAAGGATAGGGAGACGACGGAGAGCGACAAGGATGAGTGGGCGTCGAAGCTTTACGGAGGCCTGGAGATCGGCACCAGCGATTCCCTCAAGCGCCGCAGCTGGGAATCGCGTGTACCGCTCCCAGCCAGCGTGGATGAGACACCGCCACCGCTCCCCCCTCCGTCCGTGTCCTCGTCCAGTTCCTCGGACAGCGATGAGGAGGAGGAGGAGGAGCCAGTGCCACTGCCACTGCCAAAACCAAAACCAAAGGCACCCAAGGCAGCAGCTCCCCCCATTCCGGTTCGTGCTGCAGCTGCAGCTCCAGAGTCAGTCCTAGTCCCAGTCCCAGTCCCAGTCCCATCTGTGTCCACTGTGACCTCTTCTTCGCTCTTCTCCCCCGACGTGGAGCAGCGCAACTTTGACGAGTTCAACGCGAGCTTCGCCAAGTTCGAGCAGCGCAACAGCACGGCCATCTTTGCGGATGAGCCGGAGCTGGAGGATCTGGACGTGGAAGTGGTGAAGCCCACGCCTACGGCACGGCCAAAACCGCAGCCTCGTTCTCTGGTGGATCTCAGGGCGGAGGCGGAGCGAGCAGAGGAGGAGGCGCGTCAGCAGCGAGCCGCGGAAGACGCTCGCCTGGAGGCAGAGCTGCGGCTAAACGAGCAGCGGCTGCGCGTCGAGGAGGCAGCCCTGAGGCAGGAGCTGGAGGAGGAGCAGCGCCAGAAGGAGCTGCTGGAGGAGCAGCAGCGGCGCGAGGCCAAGCGATGGGAGGAGGACCAGAGGCTGCTCAGCTTTGCCAAGCGATCCACGTCCCTGGAGGAGGAGCAGCCGCAGCAACAGCAGCAGCGGCAGCGGCAGCTGGAGATGGCGCAGGAGGAGCAGCAGCAGCAGCAGGCCGAGCCAGAACCAGAGGCAGAACTAGAACTAGAACTCGAGCCCGAGCCAGAGCCAGAGCACAATTTCCTAACGCCCGAACAGTCGCCCAAGGAGTTCCAAACGAACGGCGGCGGCACTGGCAGCGGTAGCGGCAGCGGCAGGGAGAAGCGTCTGGGAAAGTTCAAATACGGCAATAAGCGAGGTGAGCTGTTGTACCCCGAACCACCAAATCGAACAGATCCGAACCAATCCAAGAGCCAGACAATCCGTTCCGTTCCGTTCCTCTGTTCCTCTCACACATCCGGCGGACAGGTGGACAGGTGGACAGGCAGGCAGTCGGGCAGGCGGGCAGGGTGCAGTGCGACAAGCAAACGCTGGCGGATACCGAAAACCGAAACCGAAAACCGAAACCACCGAACCAAGCTATTTCCAGTCAACGCTCTTTGTCATCTGTCGCGCGTCATTCCTCCTCTCAAGCGTGTTTCCCATCCCCCCCCTCCCCCCTTAACATCCCATCAAATCCATTTTATCCTACCTAATCCTAATCCTAATCCTAATCCTAATCCTGCTCCTGCTCCTGCTCCTCCTATTTGTTCTGCTATCATCTTTGTCTTCTGTTGTTTCTGTTGTGTTTTTTTTGCATCCGCCAGTGATTTTGCATTTGGAGCTTGTGGCTCCGAGCACGCCCCCCCCCCCCACCCACACCCCTCATCTGCCCTTCGTGCCCTGCCCCCGTAATCAAATTCACACTAACGATCTCCCCCTTTTTTCGTCTCTCTTTCTCTCTCTGTCCATCTGCGATAACAGATAAATACAGCAACGACAACGGAAGCAACTCGCCGAGTCCCAAGTCCACAGAGCGAATCATCATTGGCCACGAGAAGTCTGGGGGATCGCACGCGGAACGCCGCTCGGAAATCTCAGCACAGCTGGCGAAGAAGTACGAGGGCAAGTCGCGGGAGGTATGCTTTCTCTCTCTCTCTCTCTCTCTCTTTGCTCTCTTTACCCATAATGTACCATAATCTCTGATACGTGATCTGTGATCCGGCAGGAGCTGATGCTGATTGCCAATGGCATGGAGAACGAGGCTCTGCTGCAGCGGCAGCGCGTCAAGGAGCTGGAGGACTATCTGGACAATCTGCTGCTGCGAGTGATGGAGACGCACCCGAAGATACTGCAGAATCCCTACTCGCGCACCACCTCCGCCAAAAGGTTCGTCACAGTCCACGCCCACGCCCACGCCCACACCCACGCCCAAGCCCACAGCCGTGCACTGCGTTCATTTCTCTTGAAGGGCATCCACCGTCTGCCCTCCTTGCGTAGAATGTAGAAGCAGTGCAGGACACCTTTTTAAATTTAAATTTTAAATTGAATTTGTTTTAAATTTTGAATTCTTTGTTTAACGATTTAACGATCTAAAATTAAGAACAATCCTGCCATGGATCGCACTTGTTCGAGTTCTTGTTTGTGTCTAATCCGACTCAACCCACCCATACACCCACCCCACCCACCTATCCACCAGCCACCATCTATCCACACCCACACCCTACCCACACACACACACACACACACACATGTGAATGTTCTTCTGCTGTTTTGTTTGTTCGTTTCTTCTTATTTTTAACCGAATGCATTCTTGTGATTTTCTCCTCTTATTTAGTTATAAAAACTACATCAATATGAATGACTTTCTAAAGTAAGTGGCCGCCGCTGTGCATGTTGCAAGTTGCATTTAAGTAGCACTTAACCACCACCACCACAACCACCACCACCACGACCCCCCCAAAACAACAACAACAACCAACAACAACCAACAACACAAGCAACCAGCAAACGACCCACAACAAAAGAACCAACCCACAATGCGACACACACAGGAGAAAGCAGCAGAGGGCAGAAGTCGAAGTACCAGAAGGCAGTCGAAGGCAGTCTCAGGCAGTAACCAGAGGGAAGCGTTGGACACCCTCACACTGATGTCCAGTCCAGTCTAGGATGAAGTAAGCGTCGTCCTGTCTGTCGCCTCAAGTGTTTGTTTGCTGCACATTATCCACATCCTCGCATCCCAAACCAAAGGGATCCCCTCCGATCCTGTTTGCCATCTCTCAGCCCTTTCTTGTCTCTGTCTATAACATCTTCTGCATCTACTGCATCTCGCTGTGTTTTTGTGGCTCACTCTCTCTCTCTCTCTCTGTCTGTCTTTCGCTTAACTGTTGTTGGTGGTCTTATGATGGTTTCCTACGGCTCCTACTCCTACTCCTACAGCTCCTCCTGTTCGTACTCGTAGCATACATTGATTCCTGGTTGATTCCTGAGCATACGTGATATGTGATATTAATGCACGAATTTGATTCTGTCTTACAGCGGTTGAGCAGCAGCAGCAGCAGCAGCAGCAGCCTCAGCAGCAGAAACCTTTCGTCGCGTGGCAGTTCCGTGGAGGAGTTGCAGTTGCAGTTGCATAAATGTAAAATGTAAATCAATCCGAACACCAAGTTGCCTTTTGTCGCCAAAACAGCGAAATTCAAGTGCTTTCTTAACTCTAATTTAAGTACTCCTCGTATCTGAGCAGAAGGGAAACTATAACTAAAACTATAACTAAATCGTACACGTAATCACATAGATTTTAAGCAGGAGAAGAGACAGGCAGAGGGGGGGCAGGCGAAGATCAAATATTTGTATTTTGTTTTTAAACTGATGATTGATTCGGATTGATTCCCTCGTCTCGCCTCGTACTCTCCGCATGTAGCTCCAAACATAAAACAAAAACAAAAAAACTAAACTAAATTATTTGTACCTACTATACACATACGATCGCTGTTACGATCGCTGGAGACAATTGATAATTGGTTTTTACCCCAAAATTGGATTGTTTGCCCCCCATCTATCGGTTGATTGATTGAAATTATCCCAAAAGTATTTTTGTTTGTTTGCCTGTTTGTTCTTTTTTTTTTATATATGTCAAATTTGTGTAACCCCCTCCCCCTTAGAGAATTAAGCCCTAAATTATTTATGTTTTAGCAATTAAGTGAAAGCAAAGGGGAGTGGCTGCAGTTGAATATGTGTTGATACATACAATGATTTTACCTATTGATATATACACCCAAAACAGAATAAAAACATTTTAATATTAATACAATCAAATTGCTTTGTCTTTGTCTTTGAAGAGAGAGCGTAATAAATAAATATACAGATAAGATACATTTCCCTTATCACATTCTTTTAAATTCAAACAATTGTCACTCTGGCGCCCTTATACGATAGTTCAGAATCATCAGCTGCATGCCCATCGATAAGTGCCGGCATACAACACTGTTCTGTTTGGCACGTTCACGAAATTGGCGCGTTTTTTTCCTGGCTCTGTTACTTCTTCTTGTTTTGTTATTTCCTTAACTTGCTGCTGAATAGTTTTGCATCATGTTTCCACAAAAATCATCCGAGTTGTACCGCACGCCTGATGACCATAAGCCACCGACAGATATAAACTTGGCCGGCAACCTGGAGTATCCGAATCTGAACGCTGCCGATGTGAGGGCTCAACCGGAGAATTTTTCAGCCCGGCTGCACGACTGCTGGGACAGCATCACCATTGATGAGGAGAAGAATTGTGTGGTCGCTACAAATCGCCGCGATGGAGGCCAATGGTGGGGCATGTTCTTTGGCTACTCTGAGGGAAACATCGATCACATGACCGTGGACAATGCGGACTTTCAACGGCAGGAGGAACACACCGTGAACATTGTACGCTATGCGGAAAACAATGTGCTGCTGGCGGCTCTGGGCAACACAAAACTGCAGGCCTGGTCCACACGGCCCACCCCCACCGTCATTAATGCGAAGAAACCTTTTTGCCTGTCTATGTTGGACGATGCCGATGCCCATATGGCGCCCATTAGCCACTTGAGCGTGTTCAAGGCGGATCCACAAAAGTCTGTGTCCGCCAGTGCCGATGGGGACATGAAGTTGTGGACTATTGCCGAAGCCCGGCTGGAGAGTTTTTACCACGCTCGCGTTGCCCATTCGGACAAATTTACGGGCCTGGCCACGCCCCTCAGCACGCCCAATCAGTTCGTTACTTGCGATCGCGGGGGCTGCGTCCGCCTATGGGATGACCGTGCCGGGAAAGTTCTATTCAACGACCGTCTTCAACGACACAACGCACATTTTGAGCTTCACTTGCGCCGCCTGGGCTGCTCCCACAGAGCTGCTGGGCGACAATCATGTCTATCTGGGGGACATCGATGGAGATGTCCATATCGCGGACATTCGTGTGCCGCGCAAGCTGCTGCAGACGACTAAATACTTTGAGGACGCCATTGTGTCACAGATCGTCAGCAATGGAGCTCATCTGGCGGTCATGAGCAATTTGCCCGCTTGCGTCAAAATCGCCAAAGTAGACGGCACCGGCAAGCAGGCATTTATCTACACCAAAGAGAACATCCACCAGCGCCAAACGGACGCCATATGGACCGATCCACGGACACTCATCACCGTTGGATACGGCTGCAGAATGGTCAAGCATCAACTGGAGGAACTCGGCAAGTCTGCTGGCGACTGCGGCGAGTAGCGTTCTACATATTTCCGACCATTAGTTTTAAGAATCATTTAGCTTTAATTGTTCATTATTTCCGACGAAGACGGAATCGTTTCTTACATGAGTACCTACTTTAATATATTTTATTAATTTTTGTTTAATCTCTGTGAATGCGCCTGGCTGTGCCTGCTTCAACGTGGATCTATGATGAGCTTCGCTCTGCTGTTGCTCACTCAGAGTTCCCAGTGAAAGAATCATTATTTAGTTGTATCTATTTGAACAAAGCTATGTACTCTATAATTTGTATGCCTGGTCTGCTCCTTCAGAGCTCATCATTTAACACCAACATTTTTTATCAACATTTTTGATCAAGTTCAGAGATGTCTTAATTTTTTGTTGTATATGTTTTAACGAGTATATTAGATGGCTGTGCCTTGGTTGGCGGCTTTTATTGACCCAAAAAATACTTATCTATTATCGATAATGTGGGAGAAACGTTTGACATTATTTATTATTAAAAACGAGAAGGAACATGTGAGTCTCTTCTGGGGACGCGACTCTACTTATATATATACCCGTGTACTCAGTCATTTTTTTGCCACATTTACCACATGTACCATTTAGAATCTGCATATCGCGCACTGAACGAGCCAGAATGTGCGAGCGAGACAGAGAATGAGTAGCGGGTCTCTTGCTGTTGGAGGCGGGGGAAGCAACTGAAAATTAATTTTTTCATTCTGGCTATAATTATGATCCGATCTGATTCAAATTCGGCAATCTGGTAGATATGGTCATTTTAGTTTTATCGTATCTTTAAAAATTTGCCTGCAACACTTTTTCGTCCTTGGAGGGTGGGGCGAAATCACATGAGTCCGGAAACCAAGTTGGGTTACTCTAGCTCTTATAGTCTCTGAGAACTAGGCGCTCATCGGGACGGACGGACAGACAGACGTGGCTATATATTGACTCGGCGATTGATGCTGATCAAGAATATATAATAAACCCCTTAACTTAAACAACATTTTAAATGAAGGCAGAGAAGTTTTCGTGGATTCCCTTAAAAATGTAGGCTGGGAATGTTGTACCTAAAATCAATATACCTTGCGCTCGTGCTGAGATCATTCCGATCGATATATCGATAGAAAGCTATGGGAATGATGGACCTAACATTAATATACCTTGCGCTCGTGCTGAGATCATTCCGATCGATATATCGATAGGAAGCATCGATCGGATCGGACTTGCAGCTCAGCTCTATGTCTGGTGATATATCAACGCGCCGCATTTCGAATGTTTCGCGTGGATGCATTCCATTATTCACTCATTCATTCTTCTCGATTGCACCGGCACAGACGAACACGACGAACCGTGCGGATCGTTCACTAATTCAGCTTCAATTTTTTTTTTTTCGAAATCGTTCTAACGCGTCTGCCTTTGAAGGGACCCACACACCCCAGAAACGAAACGAAACGAAACCAGAAAGTGAAGTTGTGCGTTGAAGTTGCGATCTTCAGAAGATACATATATGCATATTTTTTTCTTGTTGTTCCCATAAGTGCGCGGCGAAAGTGTAGCGAAAACTGTGCAACTTATTGATTGATTGATCGCCTGACGATTGCATTGCATTGATCGATCGATGCAAGTGTGACCGACCATGCCTGTAGATCGGAGGAGCATCATCCGTATGCCCATTGGATCCCCGAGGAAAATAGTATGAAAATATGAGGCACGCGGCAGGTTGAAGGAGGAAGGCACATCGCAGAAGAGAATACAAACAAACAAACAAACAAACAAACGAGCGAAAAAAAAGCGACAAAAAAAAAGTGAGTGATTTATTCGACAGCAGACGCAGACCCAATGCCCCTCCATCCATCTATCCACACACACCACACATGCATCCACAGCGAGGAGGAGATCTCTAAATACAAATGTATGCATGTACATACATATGCACATATGTATGTATGTATGTATGTATGTATGTATGTATGTATGAATATTCCACAGAAACAGAACAGAACATTATGTTTTGTGTGTTATGGTTTATGGTTTATGGTTTTGTGCCCGGTTCGGTTTCGGAAGCTGCCGCTGATGATGATGATGATGATCTCCGCCCCTAGTGGGAGGGAGTGAGGGAGAGCGGTAGGGAGGATGATGGGGGAAACGCAGAAGCAGACGTAGACGCAGACGCGGACGCGGACACACCGAAATGGAATGGAATTGAATTAAATCAAATGATAAAAAATATAAATCGAGTGTAGAAACAGAGGCAGCCCTCTGTGCCGCCGTGCAGCAGAAACAAAAAGACACGAAACGAAACGAACGAAAAAAACAAAAAAGAGAGAAATGAAATCGGAATCAGAATCAGACCCTGCCGCCATATACCCCCATATAGTCAGTTGTCTGACAAGCGACGAACTGATGAACTGATGATGATGCCAACCAGCCAGCCAGCCAGCCAGCCAGCCAGAGCGATGGGCAGTTTCTGGCTCTGAATCCGACTGAGTGACTGAACGACTGACTGACTGAATGACTGACTGACTGACTGACTGACGCTTGGCTGTACCATTGGGGTGCTGCTGCCAGAACAGACAACGACGCACCAAACTAATGGATATACGAGTATTTATGTACATATGTACATATATTAATGCTGCCTCAAGCAGACACACAGCAGCAGCAGCAGCAGCAGCAGCAGAAGAGATCCCCACAGATCCACCAAGTCAGCGGAAGGAAATGGAAGGAAAAAAAGGGTAAATGTGTAGAGGAGAGTCTGCACTTGCTGCTGCTGCTGCTGCTCCTCCTCCTTGAGGCTGTAAATAAATAGAGAAAAATACATTGAACTCTGCCTGTCCATTGCTTACATAACGAGAGACAGACAGACAGACAGACTCCACTGCCTCTAGGCAGGCTTCGTTTTGAAATGTCAAAATTCTGTCCAAATGATAAAAATAAGTTCTATGCAGATGCCACATGCCGCCGCATCTGATGTGCCCCCTGATCTTTAAGCCGCCTCAACTGTACCCGTGACATCGATTCCAGACTTCCAGTTTAGCCACTTCCAAGCCACCCACCCCCCTCCACCGAACAGGGGATCAGCGAATTCTCGCACATTTTGGCATTTTGCTTGTCTCATTTTTTGCGGGGTTTTTACGCTGATCTTTGAAAGATGATTTGCAATTCGAGTGAGCGATGATTCGAATGACGCGCTACTTGGGGCTCCTCTGTGGTGGGGAGTTTCGATCGATCACAGAGATCTGTCTTGAATTGCTGAGCGGAAAAGTGTCTCTCTCTCTCTTTCTCTCTCGCTGTCTGCTGCCGCCGCTTGATCAGGTTGCGTTTTGGATCTTCTCTAGTTCTGCTGCTGCTTCTTTCTCCTCCCCTTTGCTTCATTAAATTCCCTCTCTGCCCCCCCCCCCCCCCAACCATGTGCACCGTGAAAAGTGCTTAATGGTTTTGTCGCGTTTTTTTGGAATTTACACAACAGGCACAGAGACAAAAAGAAACAAAACCCAAACACAACCGAACAAACAAACAGAAACCAGAATCATAAAATTCGTGAGCATTCATTCTGACAGTTTAATAAATGTCTCGCGGCTTCTCTTTCGCTCTGCCACTCTGCCACTCTGCCGCTGTGCCTCTCTTTCACTCCTAATCTCTGCCTGCCTTCGTTCGTGCGATGGATGGGGCCTGCCTCTTGCCTCTGCCTCTGAATTCTCTGTGGGATTCTCTCTCTCTCTGCCTCTCTGCTATGCTCTGGCCGAGTGGGCGGGCGGTTGCTGCTGGCTGTCAAGCCTCAAGTCTCAAATGGAAAGAAGAAATTCTTGACAAGAATCTAAGAAGATTCCGACTTGTAATTTTAGAAGAGAAATTTGCACGCGACAGAAGAGCTGGAGACTTTCCCCCCACTTGCCAAACCCAACAAAAAAGGGACATTTGGGTGGGTTAAAGGATGCAACAAAAAATCCCCTTCCAATGCTGGAAAATCAGTGTAAAATTCTCTCGTTCTACGGTTCCTTTTCCCCCATATATGTACAATTTACGAGTATTTGCATCCACTGATCTTTCTGTATACTTTTCGTACTCTCTGTTTTTCGCTCGCCGAATGAGAAATTCATTTTAAATTGCAAGTTAAAAATACATGCCTCACCCTCAGCCGCACCCTTGGTGGATTTTCCTATTCGTATGTGGTGCTGCTTTGGCTGCTGGTTGCCTGCCTGCCTGCCTGCCTGCCTGCCTGCCTGACGTTGTGGTACCGTTGTGATTTCTGCCTGTTCTTTTGGACACTTTTGGTAATTGCATTGGAAATGCGGCCAACGAAACAGTCGACACTCAAATGCTGCCCCAGATGTGATCTGGCACTTTTTTGTGTGCCTCGGCGGCATCGGTTCTGGGGTTCTTCGCTGCTCGGGTATCCCATTTAAGTGACCCATTTTTTGATGGGCAGGTTCCTCCTGCTGCTCCCACTTTCTCGATCTCCGATGCAAGCCTCAGCCTCAATTAGTGGCAGGCAGGCAGGCAGGCAGGCAGGCAGCATCAGCATCAGCATAAGAGGAACGCAACATGATTTAAATTGCTGTCACTGTCAGTTGTTGTGTTTGTCAGACAGCGGCGACAACAGCAGCAGCAGCAGCCGCAGCAGCAGCAACAACAACAACAATCGAGGCACGAGCTACAGAAACAACAGCCAGGCAGTCGCACCAAAATGTATCTCATAGATACACAGCCACTGACACACTCGTTATAATAATCCAACCAAGTTGCTGCTTTCCTTCCATGTTACATGGCTGCCTCAGTGTCTGTCTCTCCAGCCATCCCGCCATCCACTTTCCCACTCCATTCAGCTGCCATTTTGGCCAGAAGTCTCCATGTGGCACATGGTCTAAAAATGTGTTGTGTGTCGCCAGATCTGCTTCGGTCTGATCTGCTTTCTGGCTGCCCGTCTCCCAGTTCTGCCTTCTGCTGTCGCCTCCACCGATTGGCGTTCGTTTTTTGTGGTCTCGCCATGAACTACATACATTCGTTTAATGATATAAAATTCAAATGAATATTCCAAATTCAGAGGCGATCTACGGCCAAGAAACTTTTGCTATTGCCAATTCAATAAATTAAAAATAAAAATATTCTACGCTGCGAGAGCTCTGGGATCCAGCCCATCGTTTGTCACGTTTTCAAGGCGAGAGAGGCGAGAGAGAGAGTGTGGTGGGGGAGCGGGCAGAAGCCGGAACATTGCATCCAAATAAAATCTAATCGAATCGAAATCAAATGCGTTTTTAATGAGGCAAAAGAAAGGCTCCACGACACGAGGTGCGCGGCGACAAACAAATTTAGAATTGCGACAGAGGAAATGCCTTATGTGGTTTCTGCTTTTCTGCTTTTCTGTTTTGTGTTTTGTGTTTTGTGGTCTCTGGTTTCCGATTCGATATCCAATTTGAAAGCTAATTGTTGACCGGATCCCCACACCCCCACGACACTTGTTGTTTGGAATCCCCCATTGGCATAGATCGATTGTGGATACGAGACGGTCGTTTCGTTTCGATCATGCTAATGAGACCCCCCGCCCCAGCCCCATGACCATGTCAATTGATCCGCCAATTTCACTCGATCAAACGATCGATTGATCCATCATATGTACTGCTCCTCCTCCTCCTCCTCCTCCGCCTCCCCCTCCCCCTTGCTCTTGCCTGCACAACCCCTTGCCACGCCATGAACCCAACCCAAGCCAGCCCGCAGCACTTGTGCAGCACTTGCCACGGCCACTGGCTGCCCCACCCGCTGGTTATGGCGACTACGCCACGGTAATGGTTGATTTTAATTAAATATTTCTTCTTCCTGTTGCTGTTGGCTGTTGGCTGTTGCTATTCTGCTGCTATTCCCTACTCGTTCCACGTTTCACGTTCCCCGTTTCACGTTCCCCGTTCCGTTTTCTACGTTTGCGCGCGGGCTGCTGTCTGTCATTGCTCTGCGCTGCTCTTCGGCTGAGGGTAGCCTTCGGGTAGCTTCCCCCGCTTCCCAGCGAACAAGTGCCTCTCCCCCCACCCCCACCAACGAAAAGAGTTCGTGAGTGAGTTATGAATGGAAGTGATTGCTGCCAGCGGAATTAGGGACAGGGGAAATGGAAAATGGAAATGGAAAGGGAAAGGGAAAAGGGTAAGCGGATAGGGGATAGGAAATCTTCTAATAGTGTCCCAGGAGCCCTCCTCCCTTTAATGGATATTTTGGAATACTCAAACGAGTCGAGACGAGTCGAGACGAGGCGACGCAGTCTGATCGTCGCAGTCTAGGAACCCCCCGTCGAGCGGAAGTCAGGAGTGAACGACGGACCTGTGTGTGTGTGTGTGTGTGAATCCCTCCCTCCCACTCTCTTATTTCCTTCTACTCTTTCCCTTCCTTCCTGCTTTGGCTGGTCCCTCCCGTCGCGTCACATTCGCTGCATAAATAATAATCGTTGTGTCAGTGGCAGTGGCAGTGGCTCCACCTCCTGCGACGTCTATAAAATAGTTTGAATCGTTGGATTTTCAAGGAAGGAATCGAATCGAATCGTTCGGCGGCAGAGTTGAATCTTGGGTTGGGAGCAGAAGCGCAGATTAAGCACAGCAGAGAACAGGCAAAAGAACATAAACATAAACATAAACAGAGAAAAGAAACTGAAAAACAACACAAAAACAATCCGCGAGTCTCTTGAGCAATGAACCCCCCAATGGGCGGGACGCGACTGTCAAAGGCAGAGAAGCAGAGAGGCAGGGAGTCAGGGAGCAGACGCAGAGATCAGAGAGGCAGTGAGGCAGTGAGGCAGAGAGGCAGAGAGACAGTGAGACAGAGGCACCCCCCATTAAAGTTGATTGCAAACTGTACGCGCATTTATGATCGCAATCATCATAATCATAATCATCAACATGATGATGATGATCATCAGTCGCCACTGCTACTGCCACTTACTGTTGCTGTTGCTGTTGCTGCTGCTGCTGCTGACGATGATGGCGGAGAGCTGGCGTCGTCGTCGCATTATCAGCAGCATTATCATTATCATGACGACGGCCGTTGGCCGTTTATTAGTTTGCCGTTGCGCGAATTATTTTTATAGGCGCTGATGATGATGATGTTCGTAGAACAGGCAACAGGCAACAGGCAACAGAAGCAGACAGACCAGACCAGACCAGACTCAAAGAAGGGATCGGAGAGGGGTTCTGCGATCTCCAGCTGTGGAGCCAAGTGGAGCCCTCCCCCTCTGAGAATGGGCCTGGGAAACTCCAAAACTCTTTCACTTTTTCACAAAGCAACAAAATAGAATTTCCATTTTCCCACTCTTTGCAGTATGATGCCGCCAAGACTGCCCCACAGCTCTGGAGGAGCGGCAGCAGCAGCAGCAGCAACGAAACGAGTAACCACGAGTAGAAGGATTAGCCACAGCACTTCATCCCACTTCAACAGCAACAACAGCAGCAGAAATAGCAGCAGTAAAACATTTCACAAGCGCCGACGAAGGCGACACAGCACCAGCAATGCCTACACAGATGCAACATCGGATGATGCCATAGCAGCAGCAGCAGCAGCAGGAGCAGCAGCAGCGAGATGCAGCAACACGTGGCGGGCGCCAGTCACATATTTGGCACTGCTTTTGCTCTCCACAACCTGCTCCCTAGGTACTGCAGCTGCATCATCGGCAGCTGCTACATCCGCATCCGCATCCACATCCACATCCACATCAGTATCTGGATCTGCATTAAGCATCGCCTCCAGCTCACCCTGCGCCCCACAGCACTGGTGGGATCCGTTGCGGAACAAGTGCACCGCCTGCACCGTCTGCCAGGGCGAGATGATCCCACTGCGTCCATGCCAGCTGCACACGAACACCATCTGCGGCTCCATCTACGACTTGAAGATCGATTGGGTCGTTCTCGCCAAGACAGAGCCCAATTGGAAGGAGGTAAGACCAGGCACGGAGAGAGAGAGCGACCATTGGCTGCACTTCTTTTTTTTTTTTTTTTTTTTTTTTTTGCATTTTTTTGCATTTTTCTTACATTTTTGTTGTCTTTGTCTTTGCTTTGCAGCGCCGAAAGTCCTCCGAGTATGAGCACTTCGATCAGGATGCACCGCTGCAGCACTTGACCCACGAGCAGCTGCAGCGGGCCCAGGAGGCGGCCGCCGCCTGGGCCCTCGACTGGCAGACGGGCGTACTCTATGTGGCCGTCCTCACCTGCCTCATCTTCTTCTCGGTGGCCGCCTGCATCCTCATCCATCACATGCGCCAGTGGCGACGCATGGAGCGGCGCTTGGATCAAGGTGGGTTTTTCTCCCATTTGTCTCCCTTTTGTCCCCCCTGTTGTCTCCCTGGAGACCACGAGAATTTGCTACTTGCATTCTTCTGTGGACTTTCACACGCTCTCTCTCTCTCTTGGGGCTCTCTCCCTCTCCCTGTTGATTGTGGATGCAGAACGTGTTTCCCCCGACCAAGAGTCTCATTCCCATTCTGTCCATTACAAATGCCCAAATCGCTGCATGCCTCGCATTCCCAAGTGCCCACGCTGCCACCTGTCTGCCCTGCCCCTCAGCAGCGACAAAGAGTGGCGAAGCCCTAAGGCAAAGAAGCCGCATACATATTTATAAGGCGACGGGCACCAGAACACGACACTTTGATGTATGACTGCCCCCGCGTGACACCCAGCCAGCCTGTCCGCTCAGGGAATCTCAAATCTCTGCATCGGGATTGCAAAACTCCGCGCCGCGCCGCTCCACTCCGACTCTCCCTCTACTCTCCTCTCCGCTCTCTCTGCGCATATTTCCAGCGACTTGTTGCACGAGAGAGGATCGCTTCGGATCGGATCAGATCAGCGCCTGTGCTCGGAGGAGCATATTAACGAGCCGCCGCGAGAGTCAGAGGTGAGTGCGTGAGTCGCCTGGCCTGGCCTGGCCAATGGGTCCAATCCACTCCCCTTCCCACGTAAATGAGGGGAGACTGCGCCTGTGCCGCCGCCGCCACCGCCGCCTGCTGCCAAAGTAGAACGAATCGTCCAAATATTTGGCGCATGTGCGTCGGCGACGACAACGACGACAACAACGACGAAGCCAACGACGCGGCTTGCATGCAAAATACATGAAAGAAGAAGCGAGGGCGAGCACACACAATTAGCAGGCACTGTGGCTCCATATATACACGTATGTGGATCTTCTCTGGCTCCGGCTGTGGCAGCCATTTCACCACTTGACCGCAACGACAATCGAAATGGCGACTAATTGCCCCTAGAGGCAGAAGGCAGGAGGCAGAAGGCAGCGACATGAACAGAGGCACAAGTCCAAGACAGGGGAAGAGAGGCTGCCCTGCCCTTCTTTGCCCCAAGGAAGAACAAGAGCAGAGCAGAGCTGGTGGTGCCCTTGACAATGAAGGGAGTGGGAGTGGGTGTGGGGTGTGGGGAGTGGGGAGTGGCACTGGGAGTGAGTCTCTCAAGTGGGGAATGCCACTGCCCTGATACTTTGATGTCTGCTGCCAAGGCAGATCCATGGAAGATCCAGGGAAGATCCTCCCCACGATTCAGTGCTGGCCAATCAATGCTAATGGGCAGACAGACCGACCTCCTAGCACTCTTTTACCCGCCTCGCCCCCCCTCAGGACTCTATGTTCTGCCATGTGCTGTGTGCAGGCTGCAGGCCGTAGTCTGTAGTCCAGACGGGGGCCACATGTTGCAGCAATAGCAGCAGCAGCAGCATGAACCACATTAGTCGAAAAAAATGCAGAATTCAGCTAAAATCCTAAAAAAAAAAAAAAGAAAAAAAAGAAAGGGAACAGCATTGTTGAGTGGCAAGATGAACTTTCCACACTTTTCAGCCGTCCGCTCCGCCTGTCGCTTCTTGCGTGGAAATTTATGGCGTGTTTTGATAGGGGAATCTCTTGTTGTTGTTGTTGTTGTTGTTGTGCTCCGTGTAATCATAATTCAGAGCGTGTCCCACGCATGCAACTGCAACACCCCGCGAACGAAAGAAAACGAAAATGAAAAGTGCAGCGTGGAAAATTTATGGAACTGCAGTGGCAGTGGCAGTGGCAGGCAGCAGAATCTACTGCCAGTGTCGTTGCTTTGCCGGAAGCGAATCTCTTCTTGATTTTTTTTTTATTCTCAGGTAAAACAAACGCCGCACCGCCCCGCCCCGGCCCCACTTCTGTTGCCGCTCAAGGACAAGCGGATGTTTGTGTGTGAGGAAATTTAGAAAATCATGTCACAGCGCCGGAAAAACATGTTTCCATGTCAACCAGCAGGCAGAAGGCAACAGGCAGGAAATGCCCAAATGGCAATGGCAGGGGAAAGGCAGTCAGGCAGGCAGGCAGGCAGGGGGGAAATACAGGGAGAATTCGGTGATCATCGACAGATGAAAATAGTGCGACAGGGAAATGTGTGTGTGCGCAGGGGAAGGGTCGGGAAGGGAGTCGAAGGGAGTACACTTGAAGCGGAGTTTCCCCACGCCCGTACACGCCCACTGCCGCTGCTGCTGCTGCTGTTGCTGCTGCTGCTGTTGTTGCTGTGCCCTGCTTCCGCCTCAAGGGATCTATAAATACATGTGTACGGATCCCCCCATCCCTATTTGCTCTCTGACTCTTTCCCTAATGATTGAACATCGACCAGCTGCTGCCACTACAGGAAGTTGTTTGCGCCGCACGAAGGTGCCACTTCAGCAACAGCAACGGCAGCAGCAACTGTTACTGCAACAGGCGGCATTCAAGTGCAATATTGACAATTGCCCAACCCATGTGCAACCCCAAAACTTGCCTGCCTCCCTCGACTCCAAGAGAGAGCGAGACTCCGAGACTTACACATGGAAATGTGTGGCACGCGCGGGGCAGACGATAAATTTTGCAGCACGAGGCAACTGCCAAGATCTGCTGCTGTTGCTGCTGCTGCTGCTGCTACTGCTGCTGCAGATGAGAATGTTGCACAAATGTTGCAATGTCTGTGGCTGTGCCTCGCTCCGTTTGTTCGCCGATGTTCGCGGCAGTTTTACGGCTTGCAGCCAAAAATAGAACTCCCCCAGCATATCCTCCATTCGAGGATGGGAATGGGCATGGGCGGGGCGATGATGATCGAGTCAAAGTGTGCGGAGGGGAGCGAATGGGGGGATCGCTTGTGCCATGGTAGGAGAATCCTTTGTAGGTTTCACCTACACGCAGATCAGGGGGAAGGGAAAGAGGAAGGTGATAGTCCACTCTGGGAGTGGTCCGTTATTCTTCTGTTTATTCTTCTTCCCAGTCGCCAGTCCCCAGTCGCAGTCGCAGGCCACGAATCAAAGTCTCTTCGCTGCTTTGTTTCCTGGCCTTTGATTTATTTCGTTGTTGGTTTTATTTACTAATCAGCTGCCATGAGAGAATCTCCAGAGCCCAAGCGAAGAAATGGTTTTTCCACGGAAAACGGAAAGTTTTCCCAAACAAAAACAAAAGGCACCACATATGCCCCTTGCTCTGGACTCTGGAGCAGCAGTCTCTGCAGCAGTCTCGGTGCTCGGTTGGCGGTGGGGTGTGGTGGGAGGGGGCAGATTGGGAAATTGAACTGCGCAAAAAATTCTGAAATTCGGAAAATCGGTCGATGCCTGGGCCGTTTGTTTTTCCCCCAACCCCCAGCCAATGCTTTTCTTTGCTCTGTTTTCCGTTCGAGGCGTTCGAGTGTTTCGACAAGATTTTATTGTTGCTGCCGCTTGCCAGCCATTTGTTTATAATAAAAAGAAAAAGAAAAAAAAACCGATGAACGGCCGCCAGAGATCGAGGCATCGAGCATAGAGCCTCGCCAAGCGAGGCCGTTGGGCAATGGAACTTAATTTTCTTTTTCGGTCTGATTCTGCCCCCGCATCAGGCGATGATGGCAGAAGGAGGTTTATAAATAAATGATAAATTATCTGCTGGGAGCGCCTCTTGTTTACAATTCATGCCCCATGCCCCCATGCGCCCCTGCACCATGCCTCGTGCCACTCTCCATGAAGCGATTTCCTGCGCCATTTAATTAAATATCGAAGCATTGATCGGTCCCAAGGCTTTTCCCACACCGCCACAATCCCTGACTCATTTCCCTCTATTTGTCTCTCTATTTGCAGACGTGGAGGAGCTGTCGACGAAGCTGATGGCCAAGCTGGCGGAGGTGCAGAGCCTGGACGGCGGAACCTTCTTCATTGGCAATGCGGACGCCCTGCGCGGATTGCCCGCTGCCGCCACGCATGCGACTTTGGCCACGGCGGCGCAGTCGGGGATCTTTCAGCCGCAACATGTGCTGCTGCCTGGTAAGTGTAGTGTCCTTCGGGGCCATCCAGCCAGCCAGCCAGCCAGCCACTTGAGGGGCCTGGCGGGTGGGCGTTTGCGCTAGGACTACCAGCGGGATCGGGTTTCGGGATCGTAGCAAGCAGAGGGGCGTCCATACCAGCGACTCTTGGGAGTCTCCGGGCGAGAAGGGGCGTGCAATTTGCATTTAAATCGATATCACTCCTGGGCGGCGACAATAGCCGCTTAATGGCCCCATCAACGTTCCTCCGTCCGTCCGTCCGTCCGTCCGTCCGTCCGTCCGTCCGTCCTGTCGACTGTCGATCGGAGGCAGGCAGCAGGCAGCCGAAATGCAAATTGGAAACTGAATTGGGACTGCTGCTACTGGTACTCTGGGACTGAGATGCAAACGGAATTTTAATGCTGCTGAACGGAGGGCTGGGTGGGTGGTGGGGGGATGGGGGGGGTGACTGTCATTCAATTTTGACAGCCACGCTTGTGGCCTGCCCAACTCATCTTCGGCCTCTTTCCCCGCTCTTTTGCAGAGAAACATCAGGGCAAGCATCAGGAGCGACGGATTCTGAAGACCCTGCAGCCCGGCAATGTCTACATTGAGGAGAACAACGGTGGGGGCCTGATGGGGGGAGTGGGTGCCAGCTCCAAGGGTTGATCGGCGTACCAGCTGGGAAAGTTCCAGCGAATGAGAAGCCGAAAACGGAAAACAGGAAGCCGAAAACGGAAAACAGGAAACCGAAAACCGGGAGGAGAACCCACCACAGCATCCCCCCAGCATCGGAAACGAGAGTGTACAAACAGCCTAACAGCTTAAAAAATCAGAATTGGGAATCATCGAATTATTATTATTATTATTATTATTTTTTCTATTATTAATTATTAATTAATAATTATATTAATCTTATTTTATGCTACTTGATACTTCTTTTTTTGTCCTAATATTTAATTAAAAAATGTTATGTTGACTTGTTTGTAATGCGAGAAAGGAGCAGAGGAGAACAGAACCCCCCCCCCCACCCCACCCCCATTCACTGGGAGCGAAATGTTTTTTTTTTTTTTTTTCTTTTTTGTATATATTTGCAGGAGGAGCCGAGCATGTGTGGCATCAGATATATACATACAATGATTATGATTAACAAATTCTACTTAATGTACATATTAAGGGCACAAATCGAACTCGACGTTCAACGGACGGGCAGCGATACAATGGGGGAATGGTGGAACGAGGAGTGGGGATAACCAAGCAAATATCGGTAGCATATCCAAGCTAATATACATAAATACATACATACACATACACATAGATATTACATACGTATATAGTCGGATAATGCAGATCCATTAACCGGAGAGAAAATATTTAATATTTAAAATTCGAACAAGCAGATCCGGGGGCGGGGTGGGAGTAACCGGGGGGCCAGAATCGATCGCTAATCCCAGCTAAATGTAACGCCTAATGTTAATGTTAAACGATAACGATAACGATAATAAATGATAACTAATGCTAATCGAAGATGAATCGAAGAAGTGTCTTATACAATATTCTAAGTGCTATTCAGTGTGCAACAACAACAACAACAATAAAAACAACAATAAAAAGGTTCTATGAATGCGATCCGTGTCTTTGCTTTATATCCAATGGGATGCAATGGGGGGCACCACAGTGTCTACAGTGGACAGCCCACAGCATCTGCCACGCCTTCTAATCTCTCATAGTGGCGGTGGGGGAGGGGGGTAATAGATGTCATGCCATGCCATGTGCCAGCGGGTGGGCAGAGAGGCAGAGAGGCGTTGCCTAATGGGAATGCCGTGGCGCAGGCCAGGAAACGTCTTTCAATGGAAATGAAAATGGAAATAGCCCGTCGCTGCAGCTAGGCCCCTCCCCTTCCCCTCCCTTCCCACACCCTGTGCCTGTTTCTATTCAGCGTTGGGTGCACTTTGCACATTTCCAATTTGCATTATTCGAGAATTTTGTCTCCGAGTTAACATTGAAAATGTCCAGTCCAGTCCAGTCCAGCCTGTGCCGCCCGTCCGCCCGTCCGCCTGTCCCCTCTATCCGTATATGTCTATGCAGATGTAGAATGGCTTTGCATTTATTAATGTAATGCTGCTTGTTCGCTTGTTGTTTTGCAGTTACACAATCTTAAATGATTGCTGTCGCTGCTTGTACATCGCAGCTGCAGCCCGTGGGGCTATAGCCTATGGCTATGGCCTATGGCTATGGCAAATGAAATTTGTATAAGTACAGAAAAACGCGCAAAACATTTCCAATGAAAATGCCAGTTCCATTTGCCCATTTGCCCATTGGCCATTGGCCATTCCATGCACGGACCGCGAGAGTTTCTGATTTCAGATAGTTGTTGCCTCCCTCCCCCCCGTTCCACGTACCCCGTACCCGTGCCCGTGCCGGCCATGATGGCTTGCCCAGCAGAAATTAATTAGCCGCGACGTGGCATAAATTAGCAGAGAGCAGAGAGCGGAGGAGAGCGAACAGCGCGGAGAATTGCAGAGTCTTTTGGTGCTATTCCCCAGGCCAAAGCCCGCTGTATGCCACACACTATGGGGCATGGCTGGGCTATATAGCACTGGGTGCTGCTGGCGAGCCATTCCTAATCGATCTGCCATGATCTGGACTGCATTTTGTAATCTATAATCTGGCATCCTTCACTCTCTGTGGCGCCGTCAGTTCGAATTTCAGCCGCTCTACAACTCCGGCCGAGTACTGTGGCACTGTGGCACATGCCACAATTCATTTGTGATATTTTTAACATGCAACGTGCGGGCTGCATTGTCACAGCTGCTCGCTGCTCGCTGCTGCAGTGGCAGTGGCAGATGAAGATGCACTTGAAACTGATAAGTCGTAAAGAACGAGAGCGGAAGGAAGTGAACATTAGCGCTAAGCGGCAACTTGGCGGGGACAGGCAGCTGTCCATAAATCCAAATGCCATATCCCCATATCCCCATATCCATTCGGAGGTGAGTGTGTGTCTGTGGGGGAGGGGCTGTCGGTATTTATTTTGGCTGCCTGATTGCGGCTCTTCTCTTCTCTTCTTTTTTTAGTTGTTGTTGAGGACGTGATTGCCAATTGCTCAATGAATCAAAAATAGCGCCACGGCAATTGAATGGGGAATGGAAAATGCTGAATGCTGAATGTTGAATGTTGAATGGGTGAATGCCGAACATTAAATATCGGGTATCGGGTATCGAATGTTGAATGTTGAATGGATACTACTGGAAGCGGTACGTACGGGCCACTCGCAAGGCCGTACTCTCAGTGGATGTACAGGGAGGGGGTGGGGGGGGTGCCCATTGGAATGCGCACGTCGCTCACCTTTTCGGATTTCTGGCACTTAGCCATTGGGCAAGCCAACCTGTCCAAGTCTGGCTACCCTGCCTGGCCTGGCCTGCCATTTGATACGCTTTGGATGCGCATTTGGACTTTTGCGATATTGTGCGGGCCTTTTTGGCCCGCTTCCGCTGGCCATTGGCCATTGGCCGAGAAACGTTGCCGCTTGCCGCTTGCCGAGCAACACGTTGAATGCACAGCGGAAATGCGAAATGAAAATTGCAAAACGATCGACCAGCAGCACTATTAAGTGGGGAGGGGATGGAGAGGGTAGTGGAGTGGAGTGGCCGCCAGAGAGGAAATGAGTTTCCTGGCCAATGGCGTGGGGTAAATTGTCAGAGTGGCAGAAAGCAGCAGAGGCAGAATGATCTTGGGGACTTTACACGAGCAGCAAGGACTCGTGGAGAAGTCTTTCCTGAAAGGAGTTCGCACACTTATGGCACGCCTTGAACGGACATGCTGACCATAAAAAGAGAATGAACTTGTTACAATGGAACAGCCCGCCCACTCTCCGTTACCCTCTCCGTTTCCCTCTCCGTTTCCCTCTTCGTTTCCGTTTCCTTTTCGAATACATAATATTTACGACTTATCTTGATATGGGCATTTTTCTGTGGGCGAACCGGGGGGCGTACGACTGCACTGCAAGTGGCAGAAAGGCAAAAAAAAAAAGGGGGATTTTCCAACATTTATTTACCTCTAAGACACACCTCTTGACTAGCCCTATGACTGCTGCTAATGTTGATTTTGGGCAGCTGTTGGTTTTTGAGGTGTTTGCCAAAAAGCAAGGCACTCGCACGGGACAAATACGGAAGTGGTTTTCGCGGCGATCAATTCCAGCTCAGATTTCATCGAAAGCTGAGGTGATGATATATTGATGCAAGTCTCTGATAAATGTTGTGTACTGATGTCATTCTTATAGGAGATAATCGTGATAGAAAACGTGAGTATAAAATACCAAAAAATTAAAGTTAAAAAAAAGTGAACTTTTGCTTATTTGAATGGGGTTTAACCTCAAAGTTAATCTAATTATTATTATCGCGACAGAATTATATGGAAATGTGTGTGTTTTCTTTTACATATAATTTTTTGGTCTCGTTGGACCTCGTTAGAGAAGTGCCCAACTGCAGCTGCTTGTGGAATACATCTCGATTGGAAGATGTCGACTGACTTCTTCAGTTTTTTTATACCCGTACTCAAAGAAGAGTTAAGGGGTACATTGTATATATGTTGTATTTGTGGTAAAAGTGGATGTGTGTAACGCAGAGAAGGAAACGTTTCCGACCCCATAAAGTATATATATTCTTGATAAGCATCAATAGCCGAGTCGATATAGCCATGTCCGTCTGTCCGTCTTGTTTGACGCCTGGATCTCAGAGACTAAAAAAGCTAGAGGAACCAAATTTTGTTTCCAGACTCATGTGATATCACACGGTTACAAGTGTATTTCAAAATTGCGCCCCGCCCCCTTCCGCCCACACAAAGGACGAAAATCTGTGGCAGCCAAAATTTTAAAGATACGCTAAAATTAAAAACGCAGTAGAGAATGACCATATCTACCAGATTGCCGAACCTGAATCGGATCGGGTCATAATTATAGCCAGAATGAAGAAATTTTCAGTTGCTTCCCCCGCCTTCTCCTGCATGAGATCCGTTACTAATTCTCTTTCTCGCTCGTACACTCTGCCGCGTTCAGTGCGCGAGCAACCCCTAGCGAAGGAGATGTAGAATATAAATGGTACATGTACAATCTACATGTTAGATGTAGAACATACATTGTATATGTATATGTAGATAGCAGATGTAGCAAAAAAATGTTTTCTAAAATTCTAAAAAATAATATGCTCAAAAATGTATATACTGACTGAGTACGGGTATAAGTAGAGTCGCGTCCCCAGAAGCGACTCACACGTTCCTTCTCGTTTTTTTAAATTTCCTTATGTATGTTTATTCTAAACAATTATCACACACAATAAAGTAGTACTTAACGTACTGTTACTGTTGATTAGCAACTTTTCTTAAGGGTCAAGGACAATTTCTATTTACTTTTTTAAGTTAAATGCGGGACCAACGGATGAAAACGGAGATTGTTGAATTTATGGAATTTATGTTCCTGGCGGCCAAGTCGGACGGATGGATGCGGTTTAACCCTCGCCTGGTTCTGTTCCCTACCAATCTTCTAGCGAGGACGTTCGGGTGACTCCTTAGTTTGTCCAAGTGGCTTGCTCGTTAATAATGTCACGGACTGAGGGGACTCCAAGGTATTTGGCGATGTCTCTATTACGGACATATACCATTCAGCACCACAGAGGAGGGTCTTGTTGTGAAACACCCTGATCCTGTCAAGGTTCCTTTTCGCTGCGATACCATATACCTGGATGCCATACCTCCATGCAGGCGCCAGGACTACCTTATATATGCGGATCTTGTTGGCCAGTAAAATTCTCTCTCAATAATTGATCTATTAAAATTGAAGTGCGTAGTGCACCATATTTTCCAGATACCAGATCCACGCACTTGGCATCCAA